TACAGATATAAAAAATTTTCAAATTATTTATATTAAATATGATTATTCAGTACATAGAAAATTGCCACACAAAGCGTATTCTTCAGAAAGGCAGAAGGACAATTAGAAAAATAGGAAAGGCTACGTGAGACTTGTACTTTTTGCTTCCAACATATTGAGAAGTGCTGCCTTCCTCGTCTAGATTATGCTTGAAGAAAGCCAGCGAGGTGACTCTTCTGCTAACAGAGAGGAGCCGATCAGTTATACTGCAAGGTAAAGTAAGTTCCTTGGTCTTTAATTCCATTTTCAAATAATTGCTTGGAAATTGTTTACAAGCTGTAATATATGGGTTCACACAATTTGCTAAACCATAACTTCACAAACCATACCACGATTTAGAGCATCATTCCTTAAAGATAATCAAGAAAACCATGCTGTTTCAGATTTTTGTTAGTGGTGTTTATATCAGGCATGTGCCAATATGGGAGCTAGACAGAAGTCTCCAAGGACCGGAGTAATTCTTTGTCTTCTGTAAAAGCTGCAATAGAGTTTTCTGATTTCAATGAATTTATCACTCTTTGTTATCTACAATCTGTTATCCAGCATCTGCTCCTCTATTCACAGCATAACTTTGTGGGGAGTGGTTTCTTTTCCCAGTACAGTGTTGCAATACTGGTAAACAGAACTGCCTACTTTTGAGAAAACACACTTCCCATCCTCGTTTGATTCCTCTTACAAATAGGATGAGATAGCTGGATGACCAGGGTCAAAGTGAAGCTACAAGGAAAATTATTCAGATAAGTTGACCAATACTCCCCCCAGCCCTATAGTAAAGTTAAAAACAGAAACAAAACAGGTCACTAGCTACAAAGTCACTACAAAGCCCAGTGCAAGATTAAAACCAAGGAGATAAGACTTTAATGGGAAATCTTGTTGATAGGAAACTAACCCTTTCTCAAGGTCATGATACTAATTTGGGAGCAGTGCCAAAAATCCCACATGGAAGTACCTTCAGATTTCACTATATTATGTTTAGCTATGAGCTTTTAAACAGGATCTATGATAAGTTTCCTATTACATCTTCGTGAATATTATAATTTTTGTCTTCTTTGCTATTCCTAGTAAGTAAAATCCACTTCTCTGCATATTAATAATTATGCAAAAATATCATAGCACACCAAGTCTTTTATCTGCTCCATTTCCTCCCAGAATCAGATGACAGAGATTTGAATTGTTTGCTGGCTTCCCTAGTGCAAGTTCTTTCAGATCCACATATGAGGACAATACCTGGATTCCAGAGCCTGATCCAGAAAGAATGGGTAGCAGCAGGCCATCCTTTCCTGCAGCGTCTCAATGTACTCCAGAAAAACGACCAGGATGAGGTGAGTTTGTTTTGTGAGACAGGATGAAACTGTGCCTATAACTGTTTGAAATAAAATGTGTATATATAAAATAAAATGAGAGCTGTTTTAGTGTAATAGTTAAGGTGCTGGCCTAGAAACCGGGAAACTGTAAGGTCTAGGCCTCCCTTAGGCACGAGAGCCAGCTGGGTGACTTTAGGCAGTTGCTCCCTCTCAACCTTACTCACCTCACAGGACTGGTGGTGTAGGAAAAATAGGAGGCAGGAATATCAGGCATGTTTGCAGCCTTCAGTGGATCAATCAATCAAAAAAAAAAAAAAAACAGGATAAAAATCTAATAAAAATAAATGAAATGGATTCGCAAGGAATCCAAGGAATGGAAGGCAGCCTGAACCACTTTCTACTTTTTAAAAAACATGGCGTTAGTATCCACTATTAATCATTCATTTTACTTTAAAATTCATCCTCTTTTCAGAAAAAATGTTACATACAAAAAAGGGATAAGGATTAGAGGAGGAGGAGGGCAGAATCACTTTATCGTTTAATCTGTTCTAATCCTTTTTTTTATAGTCACCAGTGTTTTTTCTGTTCCTGGATTCTGTTTGGCAACTGCTGCAGCAGTTCCCACAATCCTTTGAGTTTACGGAGGCCTACCTGATGGCCGTATATGATAGCTGCTTCATCCCATTTTCTAGCACTTTCCTATTCAACTGCCAGTGGGAACGAAGTCGAAAGAATCAGGTGAGCTAAGACTGGTGGTAGTGAAAAATAATGGGAGTCAAGATTGTTGTCCTAATTCCTTGAATATTAAAATCTATGAAAACAGGGGAGAGAAACATATATTGGAAATTATTAGCTTCTCTTTCTTTGTATCCAGAATCGTTTTCTCAATCAAATTTACACTCCTATCAATGGCTGGCAAGAAAATCTCTGTTTAGAAATCCTGCAAAAAGGAGGCTATCCTGTGAAGAACGTAGGCCATACAAATTTGTCTACAATTTGGAACTGGCCACTCAGATTCAACCCCTGGCAGAGAGCACAGTTCAGGAACCCCTGGTACAATGATAACAACTTCAGCAATGGAGGCACTTTAAACAAGAAATTCCTATTCACAAATAGTGACAAGGTGTGTATTAATAAACATAAGGTGTTATTTTTTAACCTTTGGCTTCCTAGATTCAAAGCCAACTATGTTTTCTACATTCTTTTCCTCTAGATGGAAAACACTTCTTCAGAAAAATGGACCTTGTACATTTTTTCAAAAGGCTCTCTCAGTTTGCAAACCCACATTTTTCCTTGGAAAAATGGGACCCTCTCCAAAAAGAGTTCTCATCGTGTTCAGGCACTGGAGACTTCTAGAGAACAAGAAAGGTGTTGGAAGGCCAAATCCAATGGCAACTTCATTTATCATAATGGACTGCTGCTTCTCCCATCACATACAGGGACTTCAATACGTTTATGGAAAAGGTGTTATCTTCGGGGGAATCCGGAAGTTCAGGTACAAAAAAATCCAACAGAAAAAAAGACTCAGCAACAATAATCAATTGCCAAATATAGCTTTTGAACTGTGTATTACTGATGGCCTATAATAGCCTGTTGAACATCTCATCTTTACTGCCTCAGTTCCAAACATTCCACAGTAATGAAAATTATTTTTCAAGTGGCCAGTGCTATTAATTTACACATTGTTCCTAAATCCTTTTAGCCCATTCAATTGTATGCCCAAAGCAATTAAAATCTAAACATGCACTAAGGCCTCAAGGATCTTGCACAATGTTAAAGAACGACAGCTGTGTGCTGCAGGAATTATTTGTGATTTAGTTCTATTTTTGTACTTCTACACAATATCTTGGTGCTACCCACAATCTGTTCCAGACATGTATGTCTCCTTCTGTCCTCTGGTTCAGCAGATGAGCCAATTTATTGCTGGTTCAGCCCTGATGTATATGAAAATTATTTATTAAAGGTTATACGCTGCATGCTCTTCTGATTCTGGTGAACTGGAGATATGGTAAAAGTTCCCATTCCATTTGAAACACCGAAGCTCCAGAGTTTGTGGGCAAACCATTGCTCTTGCCTCATCCTCTTCCTGGCTCACAATGACAAGACTTTTCTTAAGCAGCTCCCGCAAAGAATTGCTCTATGGGTAACAGTTGCCCCTCCCCAAAAATGTTGGTGGGAAAGCAAATACTATCATCTTTTCCTTTGGTTGCGAAAGGGGGATTTTTGTAGAAGTCAAGGACAGGCCTAGCAGCATCCTCAACTGTGAAAAATATTTTAAAATATATTTTCTGTCTTATGAAATTTCAAACTGCAGAAATTTTAACTGTCTGATTGCAGTATTTGGATTAAAAGCGTATTTCTATAAATCCTTCGTGTTACATCCTCCTGGTGAGGAATTTGTGTCCTGTATTGTTGAACACGCACATGGAGTATAAGTGTAAAAGATGATTAAAAATGGCATATATAGTAGCAGCAACTATTTTGTAACTTTGAGTTTTTAATATCAATGTATGTCACCCTTCAGGTTGGCCTCTTTGCTTCCAACATTGTTAAACTCTGCGAAGAACTGGATCTTCTTCAAAAGCGGCTAACCTATTTGAAGCAAGAGGAAGCTATAGCATAGCTCTGGAAAATGCGTAAGGCGGCACAACAGCTCATTAAAAATACAGCGTTCATTTTTGCCCTCCCATTGGGAATGGATGGGCTTCCTGAATATCCATGGCAAATCTGAGCTATTGCTTCTCCTTCATATGAAACCACCTGCAGCAAGCTGGGTTTTAGAAACTTCTTAAATGAGGCACTATACGTTATATATTCCCATGTGTATTTTTTCTAAAATGAACATCCTTCCAAATGAACTAATGTTCTTATGCTGCAGAGACAATGGCATGCTATATATTTACAGCCTTGGAACACAGAAAAAAAATCAATAGGAACTTTTTCTTCTTATTGCCTAAGAGGTAACTTGTACAGTAAATGTATTAATAATTGTTAAATAACATCAAAAGCTGATAATACATTCAGTAGACAAAAATCATCAAACCTGGAGCCACAGACACAACATGCCTGATAAACTGGTGCACAAAAACACAATCCTTTTAGCTTCCATCTTCATATATCAAGTTTACTGTTTATTCAATGTCTACTATCAGCTTTGTGTGTGTATATGTACTCTATATGCAAGTTTGTGGGTGTGCATAGAGAAAGAAAAAAAACCTTCCCTATCTCTATAAAGACAAAACTTTGCTGTAACTTCAATTATATACTATTTCATAAGCTTTGGTTCAGAAGCCTTAACAACAACCATCAGGAAATTGCCAATTTTAAACTAATGGCTTTTTAAATAAAATAAAACTTCTGTAAACAGCATACACCAAAACTGTAGTCCGGGACATTTATGCGTTTGATGAAATGGGGATTGTTTTTTTGTCTTTGTCACAATCTTACAAGGACAGAGTAGCTTGCCACAACCACAACAGGCCTTTATGCAAATTTTACTCCGAATGTGTCAAACTGCAATCCAGTGTATACAGGATTCATGCCATTATTTCATACTCTTCCTTTGCTGGCATGTGTGCTATTTACACCTTTTGCTATTTACTCTTTCTTTGCACCTAGCCCAAAAAGAAAAGAAAGGGCAGAGCTTGTATCACTCACCTTGGGCTAAATCACGATATCCTGCCTGAGGTTGCCTTTCTTAGCCAGGTTTTGAAGCAACTGCAGATCCTTCATCCCTTCTCTGCCAGTGGCTTTTCCTTGGCCAGACTGGCACTGTACAAACACGTAAGTGTGATCGCTGGAAAAAAAATTTGTAAAGGTTACTATCTACCTAAAGGCCTCCCACAGGAGCATTTGGGGACTAAAGAAAACTCTCTGCAACCTGCCTCTCCCGGACACGGTTGCCAGAGGGTTTCGATGCAAGGCTCGACCCCCTTCCCTCTGGGGAAGGGGCCCACAGGCCTTCCTCCCCTTCGCTCAAACAGGCCGCTCCCCTGCGGGAAGGGGGGGGAGGAGGCGCCCGCTTGCTGCTGTGACCCCAGCCGCGTTCTGCCTATGCTCAGAAGCACTATCCAAGCAATTACTTTGCACTTTCTTCCCTGCCTGGCGATCCCGAGGAGGCCCCTGGCAGATTCCTGCCCTTGCCGGGCCTCGACAGCCTCGCGGGCCCAAGCACGGCCTGGCCAGAGGCGCCAATGGCTGCCACCCGACGGCGCAGAGAGCGGGTTCCCACATAACGCCGGGTCGCTCAGGTTTCCTCTCTCCTTCGCCTCCTTTTGAAAGGCAACGGAAGAATTGGCGCACGAACTAACGACAACAAAAAGCTGCGCGCGTGAGTCGCTACTGCGCCTGCGTGGCGAAAGAAAAAAGCGGGAAATGGAGAAGAGGAGGAGTTTGGAAGAGATTCGCGCTGATTGGCCAGACGCAGTTTGTCGCTTCTGGGCGGAAGTAGCATGACCGGTGGACCCCGAAAGTTCTGGTTTTATGCCACGTTATTGCTGTCAAAATGATGCACCTACGCAATTGCGTCGTTGTGTCCGGGCACTTCACGTGATTTATTTTTTAATCTGAAGACCGACTTCCGCGAGGAGATGATTATGCGCGTGAGCTGCCCGGTAGCCCTTAAAGCCAAGTGCCTTTAACGGCGAGGCCTGTCAGCGTCCGCTCAGGAGCATAATGGCCGCGCCCGACGTAATTTCCGGCTAAGATCGGAAGTGCGAGAGAAAACCGGGGAGCGCCTGGGTCAAGATGGCGGCGGGCCCCATCTCGGAGCGGAATCAAGGTAACGGCGCTGGGCTCGGGGTGGCTCAGGGCGGCCGTTGCTCAGGCCCGTGCGAGGGGGGGCGCTTGCATCCGCAGGAGGTGGCTCCCGGCGGGTTGGATTCTAGCCGCCCTCCTTCCTCTGCGCTCGCCCGGTCCGGAAGGGGTCGGAGGAGGGGCTGGTGGCCGCCCGGAGACCCGCAAGGGCTGCTGCCGCCGCCTGACCCCCGTCCCCCCCTCCTCTCTCCTCAGATGCCACCGTCTACGTGGGCGGCCTGGACGAGAAGGTCAGCGAGCCGCTCCTATGGGAGCTCTTCCTCCAGGCGGGCCCCGTGGTCAACACTCACATGCCCAAAGACCGTGTCACGGGCCAGCACCAAGGTGAGCGGGGCCGCGGCCGGCTCCCTCCCATCGCCGCTTCCTGGGGCGCCCCGGCCGAGCCCGGAGGGGGGAGCTGGCTTGGCCAGGCCAGCTGCCACTGGGGCGGGAGGCGGCGGGGGGAACCGAGGCATAGTGGAGGGCCACAGCCGGCTGCAAGCCCCTCTCCCGGTGGTGTCCTTTCAGGCTACGGGTTCGTGGAGTTCCTCAGCGAAGAGGACGCTGACTATGCTATCAAGATTATGAACATGATCAAACTCTACGGGAAGCCCATCCGGGTCAACAAGGCCTCGGCCCACAACAAGAACCTGGATGTGGGTGCCAACATCTTCATTGGCAATCTGGATCCGGAGATTGACGAGAAGCTGCTGTACGACACATTTAGTGCCTTCGGGGTCATCCTGCAGACCCCGAAGATCATGCGTGACCCTGACACGGGCAACTCCAAGGGTTACGCCTTCATCAATTTTGCCAGCTTTGATGCCTCAGATGCCGCCATTGAGGCGATGAACGGACAGTACCTGTGCAACCGCCCCATCACCGTCTCCTACGCCTTCAAGAAGGATTCCAAGGGGGAGAGGCACGGCTCTGCCGCTGAGCGCCTCCTCGCGGCACAGAACCCCCTCTCCCAGGCCGACCGGCCGCACCAACTCTTTGCAGATGCCCCGCCCCCACCCTCGGTGCCCACGCCAGTGGTTACTACCTTGGGACCGGGGGTTACTCCTCCAGGTACACCAGGGCTGGGGCTGGTAGCTCCTTAGTTCTGGTTCCTTTCTGCCTTTTGCCTTCTGACGATTGTTTTTTCTCACCACTTGAGTTCTTAATGTCTGAAAACATGGATGAGTGACTCAGCAACCAGCGAGTCGTTGGGTGCTTTCCCCAATATTTCAGAGTGTTCTGTGATTTTCCATTATAGGCATCCCCCCACCTGGATCGTTTCCTCCACCAGTACCACCTCCGGGAGCTTTGCCACCAGGATTGCCTCCAGCTATGCCACCTCCACCCATGCCACCAGGGGCAGGTGCCCCAGGACCTCCCTCCACAGGAGCCCCCGGGGGGGCGCATCCTCCCCACCCACATCCTTTCCCTCCTGGTGGGATGCATCCAGGTATGTTCTGTACTTTGGACAACTACTTTCTCAGCAGAAGACCGGCTCTGCCTTTGTCACTGAAAAATCTCAATACTGGGGCTGCGGGAGAGTTTGGGAAGAGTGGGATCCAGCTATGGCCCCTGTAAACCAGCAGTATGATGTGGGTGAGGTCTTCCTGACACAGTCTGTGTCTTTGGAACTGTGTGAATGCGTGCATGAGAAATCCCTGCCTTTTGTTACCTTCCCAGGTATGCCGCAAATGCAAGTCCATCATGGAATGCCCGGGATGGGCCCACATCACCCTGGACCCCCAGGGGCAGGGGGACAGCCACCTCCACGCCCACCCCCAGGCATGCCCCATCCTGGGCCACCCCCCATGGGCATGCCACCTAGGGGACCTCACTTTGGATCGCCAATGGGTAAGTGGAAGTGTTTGAGGTATTCTCTTCTCTCCTCTTCTGGTTTAGTGCCAAAAAGCCCATTGGAGTGTGAGGGGTATTGACTTTCCTAGAAATGGCTTCAAGCCAAAGAAGGGAAACACAAGCAATTTTTATCAAATTCCCCCTGACAGTCCAGTAGTTCTGATTCTTTTGTGCCTGAAGCAACTTATCTTCACAGTTTGATGCGGTCTCGGGCATCTTCTGGGTGCTGTCTAATGCCCGTGTGTTTTATTTCCCCAGGTCATCCTGGTCCCATGCCACCTCATGGGATGCGTGGGCCGCCTCCCTTGATGCCACCCCATGGATACAATGGTCCCCCTCGGCCCCCTCCCTACAGCTACCAGCGCATCCCTCTGCCGCCTCGTCCTGCCCAACGGCCCATGGTACCCCCACGGGGACCTATGCGGGGGCCTCTCCCTCCCTAGGCTACTAGGGAGTCGCTAGCCCGCCTGAAAAAACAGCCACTTCCTGTGGGTCTCCCTTTTTCTGGGTTTTGTTTTGCGAGGGGGGGGGAACAAACATTCCAGAAAGCAGCATCTCCCTCTTTATTGAAAAACATGCTCATGTCTTCGGCAGTATTGAGGGTTTGCTCATCCTATTATTAACTGTGTTCCTTTAAACAAAAGCAGGTTTTTCACTTTCCCCTTTTTTTAATAATCCTGTTTGTGAAATGCAACTGAAAAACTGTTTTGAAATAAAAAATGAGAAGGTTTTCTGTAGCTTTCTTTGTGGTCCTCCTGCTCTCACAGAGTTGGAAGAGGATTTGCTGCTTCCAGCAGGGAGGTAACCAAATTGGGCAGGGAGAGTTACACGGGGACTTAAGCATCCAGTTTAGTAGGACAGGTTGGCCTTTCCAAGTTTCAGCCCCTTCCCAGGTATCGGATTACTTCACTGCTATTCCCTTATTGAATGTTGAACATGGAGGGGGGAGGGTTACTTGATGCCCAAATGTAAATGCCCTCCAGGCACATTGGCCCTGAGAGATTTCAAGAAAGAGGAGCTGAAAGCCAGCGTGATCATCACAAGCTGTATTATATGGATAAATATTTTAACGGTAGGTATACTGCATTCTGCCACGGCAAGAGGCTGGCTGGTAATACTTTCAGAGTCATGCTCAAAATAAGATGGCTGAGAAACCAGCTTATCAGTGAGATGCCATTCCTGGAAATTCCTCATTGCCTGCACCTGGCATGCCCTCAGCCTGCATTCCCCCAAAACAGTCTGTGCCTGTTGGTATACTTTTTATAGTAAAAGTTCATGCACTGGTTAAACGTGTTTGGTCCAGAGTCCATAGGATTGTCCTTCTCTTTATGGCCACTGACCGGGAGGAGGGGACCTGTGCAAAACAACCCATTTTGTACAACTAGATCTTGTGTCCCCCAAGTCAGTTTGCAGAGTGACATCCCCTCCCGCAAAGAGCTATGAATCGCCCCTTGAACCCAACCACAGGCCACCTTCCAGGAGGCCTTAACCAAGGTGCCAAGTCTGAATTTCTCCCCTACAGAGACAGATGAAGCTCTTGATAGAAAAATAATGGATTGACTTAGCTGACAAGATGCAGAAGACCCTCCTTCCTTAGCGTAAGGATGGGATGGAAGTGGTTTGCTGGGTTTGAGTGAGGCTGAAGGATAGTGACGGGTTCCACTCGCGTACCTGGAAAGAATGATGTAAGATCTATGAAGCTTCCTGATTTCCACATCGTCAGTGTGATCATAGGCAAAGAACTGATAATTATCCCACATTCTGAATGTCAAAAAATATCTTGTTAACGAAAATTCAACACCACCTAACAGTGCTGCGTTAAGACTTAAAGCTGTCTCTTCATGCTGTACACATTCCTTACCAAGCAGATAAAACTGGCAGCACATATTTTAATTCCTCGTTCTTTTGTCTTGGGGAGCGAGACCAGGAAGTGTTCTATTTTTACAGGACCCCTAAATTTCAGGGTTTTGGGGTTGTCTTTTTACAAAGAACTGACATACTTTTGGAAAAGTTCAAAGGAGTGCCTATATGGTAGCAAAAAATATTTTTAAATGAAAAGCACATGCTTTTTAATAGCATTCATTGGAAAAGATGCTGATAGGTGATGGTGGTAGATGATTGTAAATTGGATACAAGAAGTTGACGTGAGAAATAGGATTAGGCCTCTGTGAAAAACATTTCCAAGGGGCAGTTTCCCAAGTAGTTCACCTTCCTTTTCTTAAGCTTCCCAGCCAGAAAGATAAGGAATAGTCTGAGTCTTAGAGTAACTAGAATCTTGCCCGTTTCAACCTGTTTCAACCTAGTGCCTGATCAGCTGCAGTAATAAACCTTGGTTTCTTAAATACCCAAACTAGCATTGAATGCCATCTTGATTGGGGTCCACTTTCCTGTCCCGCAAATTCCTCTCTGCTCTGAGCTGCATCTCATTGGAAACCGACGCCAAGCGCAGAATGCTAGAATCTTGCAGCCACTAGAGGGCGCCGCTCGGGCACAAACTCCGCCGCGCACGCCGAGACTGCTTCTGAGACGGTGGCTTGTGCCCAGCAGCCGCGCACGTACCTAGCAGCTCATTTGGGCAGCAGGCGCAGAGGGGTCCCCGGGGGAGCAAAGTGGCAGCTTCTGGGTCCTCCGTTAGAGGAAAGTCTTCGTATGGGCTCACAACACCAACGCTGAACAATATTTTGTGTGTCAATTAGGTTTGTCCTGGAAGAGGGAAGGGGACTCTGATGCCTTGCCAGGAGACCCTCTGGAGCTCCTCAGGGTGGGAGATGAGCAGGCCAAGATGGGGGAGGGAGAAGCGCAGCGCCTGATGGGAAGCAGGACCTCCTGGTCAGCCCAGAGGACGAATTGTGCAGCAAGTCACACTCTTCTTGAGTTAGGCCGCCATACCTCGAAGGGGGCAGGGCAGGGGGAGTCTCCCAGACAGAAAAGGTTGAGCCCTTTCCTAGACAAAAACCACAAGGCTTCAGCTGGCTGGCATCCCGGAATCTCTCTCTGGAAGTGAAGTGCAGGCTTTCCTTTGGCAGCAGATCAGGAACGCCATCGAAGGAATTCAAGCCAGAGCGCTCTGGCTTGAAAGCATTCTCCTTCCTCCTGGCTTCTGACCTTGGGTTTCCTTTGGGCTCACCCCCCACGCCTTGGGGCATCTCCCTTCCACTAGGCTGCACTTCCCTTCTGGATAGCAGGACCACTCCCGGGAGACCCAAGGCCCTGCTCTCCCAGAGTTTTGCCATCTGAGCACCTCTGACCAAGAGCTCCTCCGGACCCTTCAGCCAGCCTTGGCCCTCTCCGGGCACCACCATCGAACTCTAAAGATGCCCTCCCCCCCAGTCAAGCTGCCCGCCTGAGATGGGAGCTGTGATCTGCTCCAGACAAAGCCCAGGTACCCTCTGGCATCTCTGGAGCAGAAGGCCCTTTGGAGGGGGTGCTCTGGGCACCCACGCTAAGGAAGGGAAGCCTGGAGCCCTTCCACGCTGCTGGGTTGGGGGTACAGAGCCCAGAATTCAGTGGGCCATTGGCTTATTTGGGGGTGGGTGGGTTGAATTGGTCTTTGGCCAGAAACTGGGGGTGTGAAGAAAAAGAGGGTCGCAACATACAAGGGAGAGCATCGCTGCTGTTCCGGGCTTGCTGGTGCCACTCGGGTCCGTTCTCCAGGCACTGGCCTCGCGGCTGCTTTTTTAAAAAGGCTGCTTCGAACAATCGCCAAGGAAAAGGCAGCGCAAGCGAGGACTTGGTAAATCCTCTCTTCCGCGTTCCTGTTCCCGCGGGAGAGGCAGCCGCTTCCTCCTCTGACCGCTTCGCCTCTCTCGGTACGGTGCGCTGCGCTGCGCTGCGCTGAAAGGGGCTCTGCTGGGATGTGGGGAAAGCGGGACCTCGGCGCAGCCCCCTCCTCGCGGAGCCACGTCCCGCTCCGGCCGGCCCGTCCCCCCGGGCGGGCTGTCATCCCCTTCCCCTCCGTGCCACAATGGACTCTCCCGTGACTGGAGGGGCGCAGCAACCTCTGCGCTCTGGCTCCGCCACCGCCGCTGCTCCCCCTGCGTCTCTCTGGCGGTTGCAGCAGCGGCGGCGTGCAGCGGCGGCGGCGGGAGCGAGCGCCTGCCTACCTGCCTGCCTGCCTACCTGCCTGCGAACGGGCTGGGTACCGCGGGAGCGAGGTGAGCCAAAGGCAGACTGGGGACGTGCAGGCCGGGCGCGGTGGATGCCAGCGCCGTTTCTCCCTTCGTGTGGCCATTTTGTCCTAGGAAATCTTGGCCTTCCTCCCGGCGTCTTGTAGCCCCTTCCCCCCGCGGGCTCGCATTGCCGGCCTTGGCCGGTGAAGGATTGCGGGACGGTCCCCGAGGCGATGCTCCGCCACCGCCGGGGCTGCACAGAGGAAGAAAGCCGTAAGGGGGTGGCGCTGGCGGGAGAGAAAGTGACCTTGGATGTCGGGGTGGGGGGCGCGAGGCGGGGGAGGGGGCCGGGGCTCCTAACCTTTCGCTCATCATCACGTAGCCGGGTTTTCTTTAGGCCGACTGAATAATTGGGAGGGGGGCAAGCGGGCTCCCCCGTCCAAAGCGCACGAAGTCCGTCGTCTCTCCGGAGCAGCCAACGCGGAGGACGGGTTCCGTCGGTGCTGCAAATTAAAAATGGGTTCCGCGCGGGGGGGGGAGGGGAATGGTGGTTATGGAAGAAGCCTCTCCCTGGTCTTCGAGGCCCCCACCCAAAGGACGGAAAGGAAGAGGTGGGCTCGGGAGCCCCAAATTTCCTCAGATCAGCCGATCGCTTGCTCCCCCCGAAAGGAGCCCAGCCCAGCCCCAATCAACTGGACTACACTCCCCATAGCTCACAGCCGGCGCGATGCCCGTTCGGAATCGTGGGACCCGAGACGTAGTCTTTGCGTATTTAAATAGATTTAATGAGCTAATCAAGTGGGTTTTCGAGCGGGCAAGGGCCTCCCGCCACGCTGGCGAGGCAGCCGCCGCGCCGGATCGCTGGGGGTCTCCGGTCCTGCCGGCTTCGCTCGGGCTCCGCGAGAGGCTGGGGCCTGGCTGGGTCCCTCTTTGGCCGGGCTGAGGCGGGAGAGGCTTTGCCGGGGTTGCCGGCGAGGAACGCGGGCGCGGCTGCCCCAGCTGTAGGTCTGCAGTCCCGGGGGAGGGGGGTGTCCTTCCCTGCCAGGCTGGTATAACGGGGCTCCCTCCGCGCCCGGGTCGCGTGTTTGGTTCATTCTTGGGGGCAAACATTGGAAGGAGGCCGCGAAAATGCCAGGGCGGGAGGGGCGCAAGCTTCAGGTTGCGCGAATGAGGCGAGGGATCCTTAGCCCCGCGCAAGGCCGAACAAGCGTTCCTCGTCGCTTAGGAGCGGCCCCTGGAATCCGGGCCGAGCGGTGTGGGTAACGGCGCTCTGTACGCGCTCAGAACGCGGCTACTAGGTAAACTAAGCCCCGGCATGGTACTGGAAGGGGGAAGGGGTCGGTCGGGTGGAAACGGCGTTGGAAGAAATGGTTCCCCCCTCCCCGCTTTTGGAAAAATCTGCTCATTTGGGTGGAGCTATGCAAATGCCCGATGTCGTTCCCGACCCTTTCGATGAATTGCAGGGAACCAGAAAACGGGCGGAAATCGGGGGTCTTTCGGGAGCCGAAGCGCGAGCTGTGGCCGGAGGGAGCCGCTTCCTTTCCCCTTTCTAGGCTGATGAGGCGGCAGGTCCGCGGCTTCCCCGAGGCTGCGAGCGCCCCGAGGCTGCCTTCTAGATAAGGCCGAGGCGGGGACAGGGGACCCCCTTCGCCTCCCTCACCGACCTTCGAGGGCGGCTGAAATGCCTCGCAACCCCGCAGCAAGTTCCGCCGAGCCCGGCACCGGGCCAACCTGATGGGGATGGGAGTTTGAGGTCGGGCAGGTTTGGAGGGAGACAGGAGGTCTTGCTGTGGGTTGCATGGCTGCTTCAGTGCCCCCCCCCCCGGCGAGAAAAAAGAGGAGCTCTGGGGGATGCTTCCACCTCCCTCCTGCGTGTTGAGAGAGAGAGAGAGAGAGAGAGAGAGAGAGACGCTTTATTGTTGTTTTTCCGGTGGGCACAATGGCACACATTAAAAATGAAATTTAGTTGCTTTCTCTGAAAGTGTACACATGCATAACACATTTAAAACATACGATATATAACATATGTCTAGACCTACACCGTTACGTATAAGTAACATATAAATAATCCAGGATCCACTGAAGGAGGCCCGAGCTCCCCTTTGAAGGGCAATGCCGTAAAGAGATGACATTCCCGTGGGAAATGTGCATTGTTTGTTTTTCCTTCAATCACAAACTGATGCAAAGGCAAATAAAAAATCTGGGCTGGAAAGATACGAAAGTGAGGCAAAATAAATGAGGCTCTGAGCCTCACAAATTAGGAAGAGGATCTCTGCTGATCCCTGGGCTTGCCAGATACGAGCCTTGGGGAACCGCCATTGGCCCCCTGGTTCTCAGCCCATCTCTCTCCTGCTTCCAGAGATTAAAAATAGCCTGCTGTGCCCCCTGGGGTGGGGGTGTATGCTTCTGGAAGGTTCTGCCAGCTTGGACAACGAGGATCCATTGCCAGGCCCCTCCGCTTTGAGTTTCCTTGCCTGGCAGTGGAGAGGGAAGGACATGGGGCTCATTTGGGAGCCACGGGGGGGGGGGTCACCAACTGATCGCCTCTGCTACCTGCATTGAACAAGAGTTTCAATCAGTGGCCCTTGTTTGTTTGTTTGTTTGTTTAAACGCGTGCCTTCAAGTCACTCTTGATGCCTGGCAGACCGGCTGCAAATTCTGGCTCTGGAAAGCCTTGGGGTCTCCAAGTGGGACGTGTGACACAAGCTCCCCATTGCACGAGTGTGATTGCTGAGCAGGGGGGAGGCCAGGATAAGATGGCAACGCCTACACAAGACCCACTTCCTCAGCACTCCCCTCTCACCCAGAATGGTCCCACCCAAGAGGGAGGGCTGGCTGTGCAGGGGGTGAGTCAAGCCGGAGATGGGGGTGGGTGAGCTGGAGAGACATCCAAGGCAGCGGTGGGGGGCAACCCTCCCTTTCCATCGGCTGGTTCTGTCCTCAGCGGCTCGACTTCTTTTACTCTCTTCCACTGAACCCTGTCCCCATCTTGTCTGTTGGGTCACCTGAGCCGCCCTTTGAGGGCTGGGCTTCTACCTGACCGTATGTCTCCTTCCTTTGCAGGGCCGCTCTCAGTCAGCCCAGTGGAGGCCGCTCTGCATCGCTCTCCTGGGCAGGCACCGCCTCCTCTTCCGAAGCAGAAGCCAGGGCTCAGGCACATGGGTCGCCACCCGCGAAGAGCTAGTCCTTGAAGGGGGAGCCTCTGCCAAAAGGAGCAGCTGCCTGCCTTGCCGGTGGGTGCTGAATACGGTGCCTCCCACCCAGCCGCCCACGCCTTCTTCCCCTTTCATCTCCAGGCCCAAAGGGCTGGTGGGAGCCATGGACGAAGGCTTTAGAGACCGGACCGCCTTCATCCGTGGCGCAAAGGACATCGCCAAGGAGGTGAAGAAGCAGGCGGCCAAGAAGGTGGGCAAGGGGGTGGACCGCGTGCAAGAGGAGTACACCAAGCGTGCCTACGCTCGCTTTGAGGAAGAGGACGATGATGACTATCAGCCCCAAGATGGATACTACCGTGGGGAGCCCTCGGCCGATGAGGAAGGGGCCTCCAGCGACGCCACCGAAGGCCACGATGAAGACGACGAGGTCTATGAGGGGGAGTACCAGGGGATCCCCCGGAATGATTCCCTGAAGGGTGAAGACCGGCTGACGGCCAGCCCGGAGGCAGCCAGTGAGTTCAGAGACTTCAGTGACCTGGAAGGAGAGAAGAAGAAGGAGAAGGAGGAGCTTTCTCAGCAGTATGAGCTGATTCTGCAAGAGTGCGGACACGGGAAATTCCAGTGGACGCTCTACTTTGTGCTCGGACTGGCCCTCATGGCTGACGGAGTGGAGATTTTTGTGGTCGGCTTTGTCCTCCCCAGTGCTGAGAAGGACATGTGCTTGTCAGACTCCAATAAAGGCATGCTGGGTAAGTCCCCAGGAAGGCCGTGATTTAGTGGGGGATTCAGGGGTCTCTTTCCTGAAAGCTTTGGCCTCTTGGGGTAATCTGGCAAAGGAGGCATGACCTTGGGAGGGGGGAGGGGGCTGGCCTGATAATGTGTTTGTGGTTGTAGATCCAGAGTTTTTTTTTAAATTTCAGAAGACAATAGACAAGCATGGTTAACTTTCCCAACCCCCTCTTGGAGTTCTAGAGCTTCACAGAGGATTATAAAAAAGAGGGGAGATGAGGCTTTCTGGTAGAATTGAGATGAAATGGGTTTGATTTTTTGAACAAAAAAAATCCTTATTTACTGCACCCTAAAGCTTGATAAAAGATTTACCTTCACCCACATGTACTTTTACCAAGAATGATTCCCAGTTGAGGAATATTTGCATGGACTTTACAGCTTAGGAAAGAGGCATAATAATTTTAGCAAGAAATTTGCAGCCCTGGAGGAAGTCACACCAGTTCACGTGGAATGAGTTGTGGAGTTGCCACTGCTAATTTCCTGGCGGCAGAAAATATTTGTAGCAAACGTTCAGATTAGATAGTGCTCTCTCCGCCACCAGTACGGCCTTTATGGGATCAGACAGATCGGGAGCACAGTTAAGGCTCTGACCACTCGGTGCACAGGCCTCTCAGGACAGAGCTGAGATTCCATAGAAACGGATTCCATAGAGCTGCTGTGTTTGCAAGTGATGGCATCACTTTGGAATTTGGGATTGTACTGACTGCTCTGCGTCAGATGCAAGTAGACAGATTCCATGCCCATGAAAAACTAACATAGCAGGGAGGACAATGCTGTAAGTTTTCATTTTTTCCTGAAGTATTAGCTCTCGGTATGTAGGGATTCCTTAATTTTACTAAACCATGCCATTAGGGCCATCAGATAGTTTTTTGGGGGGGAAAGTTAAATACATTCATGGAGGAAATGACTGCTGTCCACACACAGGCTGAGATCAAGGTGATCAGGGTCCACCCATCCAGCTGGCTGAGCTCCCATCGGTGCTCTGTGCCGGTGGGACCCTTGGCCTGATCCAGCAGGTTCTGCTCTGCTTAGCATTGTACATTTCCGGGCATCTCTTTGTTGGAGTAACCTGTGGGCCAAAGAGGGGATTCTGTGTCCATTTTAACAAAGAACACACTAAAAAAAAGGCAGCAACTCTCCCCCAGGCAGTGACCCCAAGTACGGGGGGGGCATCATCTCCTGAAAGGAATGGAATCCCCTCGACTGCTGCAGTAACAGCGGCTCCCTGGCAGCTCTGTGACTCAGTCGGGGACACGGCTGCTGCTGCTGCTGGGTGACTCATCTTCCCCTTCTCCATCTTAGTGGCTCTGTGCAGAGAGACCAGCCCCCTCCCCAGCGTATCTCCTTGCTGCTTTGGGGCGCTGCAAGGAGACTGGCTGGGGCGGGCAGGAGGGGAGAGCGCAGAATTAAATTTCCCAGAAAAGAAGAGCGGTGCCTGGGCGGAGGAAGCCTGGGGTGTGTGTGAGAAATCGGGGAGGGGGGAGCTTTTGAGGCAATAGAAGGGCCAGCTTTCCATGCGACACCTCTGCAGTGCGGCAGAGCCAGCCTTCCTCCCCATTTCTGGTGGGGAAAGGTCGGGCAGGAGTGGGGCAGCAAAGCTCCACTTCCTTCTAATTTGGGCCTTGCATGTATGCCGGGCCCTTTTCCACTGCTGTGGGTCTCGTAAGTTCTGCCACTGCTGAGGCTGCCTTCCGAAGGCCTTGGGCAGCTTCTGTTGGCCGGGACTCTCTGACAGTCAGGATGGTTGGAGAAGACGGGCACCGAGGCCTCAGCAAAGGGTGGGAGAGACTGTCCGGAGGGCGCATTGACCAGTAAGCAGAGCAAGGCCTGTCCAGACCACACGGTGGCTCCTTGATGGCTGGTGCCTCCAGTGAACATTCAAATAGCCCATCAAGGAGCTCATGGGGGGGTGTCTCCCCTCCTAGCTCCTGGTCACTCCAACACTGGTTCAAGCCTGGGGCCATTTGGTCAACTGTCTGACCGCTCTAAAAGCCAGACGCCCCCTGTCCAGTTCCTCCCTGAAAAGTGCAGGTGAAGCACAGAAGGGCAGGGGTGCCTCTCCACCAGGGAGCAGCGTAGAGACCCACCCCAAGGGTGAGACGGAGCCATTGCCTCACAGCAATGGAGATGCTGCCAGAAGAGGCACAATTGGCCAGTATTGGAGAGGTTAACTCTGAACCGCCAGCAGGTGGAAAGAGTCCCCACCCACTGAGCTTGCTCTGGAAGCCACAGGGCGTTTTCCCCTCCTGTCCCTCAGCCTGGGTCACCAGCTGGGTTGGTGTTAATGCAAGCCCCTCCATCCCCCAATAGTGCCAGTCTCTATCTGACTGCCAATCCTTTCCCCAAGAATAAACAGAGGATTGCCAAGCTCCCTCCAGAACATGGCTGCTCTGCTATAACTCCTGTCTCCCTCCTCCTCCTCCTCCTCCTGCTGCTGTCTCTCTCCTCCTCCTGTCTCTCTCCTCCTGCTGTCTCCCTCCTCCAGGCCTGATTGTCTACCTGGGAATGATGGTGGGTGCCTTCCTGTGGGGCGGCCTGGCAGACCGGCTGGGGCGCAGGCAGTGCCTGCTGATGTCACTCTCGGTCAACAGCGTCTTTGCCTTCTTCTCCTCCTTCGTGCAGGGCTACGGCACTTTTCTCTTCTGCCGGCTGCTCTCTGGTGTGGGGTAAGGGGACCCTGGGGGCTCCAGTCTGGGCACAGCCCACCTTTTCTCCCATCCTGAGGCCAGGGCTGGCCTTCAAGGGCGAGGGCGCTATGGGCATCCTCCCCCAGCAGAACAGAGCAGCGTGTCTGAGGGCAGCCGGGGCCGGCTGAGGTTTGCAAAGACACCGAGGTGCAACTGGAAGGCATCTTCGCTGGTCCCAGCACAGGGGCTCCAGGAAAGGAACGGGGCTGCCCGAGTTGTTTTGGCCAGGAGGGTGGCGGGGTCTCCCCGTCCCTCTTCTGAAATTGCTCTCTCCCCTCCCAGCATTGGGGGGTCCATCCCCATCGTTTTCTCCTACTACTCGGAGTTCCTGGCCCAGGAGAAGCGTGGCGAGCACCTCAGCTGGCTCTGCATGTTCTGGATGATTGGCGGCATCTACGCCTCTGCCATGGCCTGGGCCATCATCCCCCATTACGGTGAGTCCCCGAGGGCAGGGGGAAAGAAAGGATCAGGACATCCGCAGGCCGAAGGAGACCCACGTGGGGCTGAACCCTTTCCAATTTGGCTGCAGTGGGATTGGTCCTCGTTGTCCTCCCACGTTGGGCAGCCTCCCGACTCAGCAAGTAGCAGGGTTTGTCCCCAATCCATAGGAGTCTGCCAGGTGTGCTCTCGTGGGGCTTGGAAGAGGAGAGGAGGGAGGAGAGCCAGGGTTCGGCCGTCGTTGCTCCTGAGAGGCTGGAGCTGTAGGCTTGCATGGTTCAGACGTTGCGGGGCGGGGGGGAGTGTTCATAGGCAGTGAAGAGGACAGTCCCCTTTTGTAAAGCCCTCTTCTCCACCACCCCTCCCCGTCGCTCAGGGTGGAGCTTCCAAATGGGATCCGCCTACCAGTTCCACAGCTGGCGCGTCTTCGTCTTGGTCTGCGCCTTTCCGTCGGTCTTTGCCATCGGGGCCCTCACCAGCATGCCGGAAAGCCCCCGCTTCTTCCTGGAAGTAAGAAGACCCCGGTGCCCCCTTTCAAGGGGCGGAGAGGGCTGCTAGATGCCCACAGAGCGAGCCCTAGGCCGGAGCCGGGCCAGCTCTGCTTCCCCGTTGCCTGTCCCCCAGCAGCTGATGGGGGAAGGGCCCAAGAGCTGAGCCTCCGAGGGGTGAGGGGCACCCTCGGGGAGCAAACGGGTAGACACCCCCATGTTTCTCTCTTTCTAGAATGGCAAGCATGACGAGGCCTGGATGGTTCTGAAGCAGGTCCATGACACCAACATGAGGGCAAAAGGCCACCCTGAACGGGTCTTCTCGGTAGGAGCCCTTCTTCCTCCTCCCCCTCCTGCTCCTCTCTTGGCTAGGGGGCTCTGGATGACTTTCAAGCTGGGAAGGCTGAGGACCCTCACCTGCCCCTTGCCACGTTCCATTGGCAGGTGACCCACATCAAGACAATCAAACAGGAGGACGAATTGGTCGAGATCCAGTCGGACACAGGGACCTGGTACCGGCGCTGGATGGTCCGCTTCCTGAATCTTGCTCAGCAGGTCCGTTGTCTAGGGTGGGGGCTGGGGGGGAGGGTTTGTGGGACTGCTGGGTTCCCTTCATGGGAGCCGTGCTGGGCAACCACACCAGGCGGGGGAGGCTGCAGCTCAACCGCGGCCCCCACCCAAGGCTTTCAGGGCAGGGACCGCCTCCCAAAGGATCTGCCCAAGCCCCTCGCACCCCTGGCTGCGTCCCAGACTCGGGACGCTGCAAGCACCTCCCTTCCTCTTCCACAGGTCTGGGCAAACTTTCACCAGTGCTTTGCTCCCGAGTATCGTCGGGTCACGTTGATGATGATGGCGGTCTGGTTCACCATGTCCTTCAGGTGAGCCACTCTGGGGGAGAGTCAGGCGACCTGGCACTGGATTCACAGATCTCCCTCGAGGGAGGGAGGGAGGGAGGGAGGTGCATCGGTCCCTTCTCTGAAAAACAAGAGGGGCCCAAACCTCTCTGGACTGGGCTGATAATGTAAAAGCTCCCCCCCATCTCCCCTTGCTTAAAATCCCCGGGTTATTTCCTCTTCCGCCACAAGCCCACCCTGAGATGATTGGCAGGGAAGAGCCCAGGGCTCCTAGAATGAAAGGTTGAATTGACATTCATGGAGCCACGAGGATCGAGCCCCCAGCCTGTGCGGGGATGCAAAGAGTAATAATGTTAAGCCTTTAAGTAACAAAGAGCAAACCTCACATTGTTCCCGCCCACGAGCCACGCCTCCAGAGACAGTACAAGCCACGGCCACGTTGGAGCCGAGGGTCTTTGCTCCCTGCAGTTATTTCCCTCAGTTGGAGTTGGAAGGACCAACGCCCTGACAGGAGGAGCTGCAGGCTGGGCAGCTGGGCTTAGGGAGGCTGCTTGGACCCACGGCCTCCTTGGCCCACCAAGGTCCTCGCCCAGTGAGGGATTCTGGGAGTCGTTGCCCCAACGCCCTTCAAGTTGGGAAGAAGGGTGTTCTGGAAAACCAGCCCTTCTCTCCAGTTGAGGGTCCTCCAAACCTTTCTGGTTCTTTCTCTCCCCTCCTCCTCCACCTACTTTGGCCACCGGGCAGCTACTACGGCCTGACCGTCTGGTTCCCAGACATGATTAAGCACCTCCAGAATGTGGAATATGCCTCCCGCACAAAGGTCTTTAACAACGAGACGTTCAGACACATCACCTTCAACTTCACCCTGGAGAACCAGGTCCATCGCCGGGGGGAATACTTCAATGACAAGTAGGTGAAGCTCTGCTTCAGAGGCTGGCCCTGTGACGAGCCCCCCCTCCCCCGCCCGGGTGGGGCTTCAGTTGGGGCAGTGCAGGCTCTGTTGGGGCACTTCCTTGAGCAGCGCCGTCTCTGGGCTGTCCCCTTCTGTGTTTTTTTCTGGACAAGGAAAGGGCTGGGCTACCGCAACACCCCCCGCTGCAAAGTCTCCCAAGCAGAGATACTTTTCAGGTGCATTTTTGTAGCCTGGCCGCGCATGGCCTGCCACCCACTGCAGGCACAGAGCCACGTCACGCCAAGTCTGAAGGAGCCACCTTAGAGGGCTTAGCAGCCTGCGTGAATTAAGGAGTGGACCCTCAACCTCCTCTCTCTCCCCCTGGACAGGTTTATTGGCCTCAAGATGAAGTCGGTCACCTTCATTGACTCTTTGTTTGAAGAGTGCTACTTTGAGGATGTCACATCGAGCAATACTTTCTTCAGGAACTGCACTTTTCTGGCCACTGTCTTCTATAACACAGGTAACGTGTCTGAGGGGGCCGGAGCTGCTCCCGGGCACCTCTGGGTGGGTGGGGGTCCTTGGGAAGCCCCCATCACCCCTCCCACCTTGGCTGGGCTTTCTCAAAGGCCTCTGAGCTGCTGAGCCCACCTCATATCCGCCATGAAGAAGTCACAGCCTTTGCGGTGCAGCTGCTTTCCTGACTTCAGACCAACTGAAGACAGAAAAAGGAGGCTCCGAAGCAGCTCTTGGCCTTGGAAGACACCGGCAGGCAGGCCCAGCCGGGTGGGGGGAGCTGTTGGCTCCGAGAAGCCTGCAACAAGCCATTCAGAAAAAGGGTGTCCTGAGACGGCGGCCATAACCATACGGGCTCCTGGGTGGGCCAAGGACTGGCTTGACCAGAGGAAGGGGAGGGGGTTAGGGGTTGGGACCTGGCCCCTATGGGGGGATCTGCCTGGTTTCTTTAGGGAATGGGCCTAAGCTCTGGCCTCTCGCCCCCAGACCTCTTTGAGTACAAGTTCATCGACAGCCGGGTCATCAACAGCACCTTCCTGCACAGCAAAGAAGGGTGCCAGCTGGATTTCAGTGACGACAACAACGCTTACATGATCTACTTTGTCAGCTTCCTGGGCACCCTGGCGGTGCTGCCAGGCAACATTGTCTCTGCGCTCCTGATGGACAAGATCGGGCGTCTTCGCATGCTGGGTGAGGGGCCTCCCTTTTGGCAAATGCTTGGCAGGGATCAGCTCCCCCTCTCAGCAGGTCGTCCTGGGGGGGGGGGGAAGCCACCTGAGAGACGTGGGTGGCCCCTTTTCAGCCCAGGACCAGCTGTCAAGAGGCCGACTGGTCAGTCATGTGGTGGGCTGGTTTAGGATCTGGTGTGGCGCCGGACTCCTTCTGGGCTCAGCGCTGCTCTGACTGTAGATGTCTGATGCCCTGGTGGGATCTGTCTGGATCAGAGACTTTGAAACCAGCCATGGGGATTCCTGGTCTGGGCAAGACTTCATAGTGGAGGCAAAAAGGTTTCTGAGCCTGCCCGTTTTTCACAACGACGTCTAGAAACTAATGCTTGTCTTCCTCCTTCTCTGCTCCTCCAACCAACGCAGCCGGCTCGAGTGTCATGTCTTGCATCAGCTGCTTCTTTTTGTCCTTCGGCAAAAGTGAGTCAGCCATGATTGCCCTCCTCTGCTTGTTTGGCGGGGTCAGCATTGCCTCCTGGAATGCCCTGGACGTCCTCACGGTGGAGCTGTACCCTTCGGACAGAAGGTGAGGCTCTCCACGTGCCGGGATAGCTGGGGAATGGGTCTCACCTACAGTGTGTGTGTGTGTGTGTGTGTGTGTGTGTGTGTGTGTGTGTGTGTGTATACACAAGGGTTGCCTTGGTGAAAATAACTGCCCCCGTGAGCCTGTTTGGGGAGGGGGCGGCTCCTTCGGGCATCTTCTGTGCTTCTGCCACTGATGGGTTCCTAGTGGCCTCATTCCCGGCCACTGGAATCGGAAGGGAGGGGGAGACCCAGTCAGAGCTCTGCACCCACAAAAGCATCCCACTGTCCCTTCCTCGCCCTCCTCCTCATGGCCTCCCCCTCCCTGCTTCCAGGACCACCGCATTTGGGTTCCTCAACGCTCTCTGCAAGCTGGCGGCGGTTTTGGGCATCAGCATCTTCACGTCGTTTGTGGGCATCACAAAAGCCGTGCCCATTTTACTGGCATCAGCAGCCCTGGCGGTGGGCAGCTCTCTGGCCCTGAAGCTTCCGGAGACCAGGGGGCAGGTGCTGCAATGAGAGTGAGCCCCCCCCCGGCTCTTGTGCCCCCGCCCCTGCCCGGGGGAGATTTAGCGTTGTAGACACTGTGACTGTCTTGTTGTACCATTTCAATGGGAAATCTGTCTTCGCTTGGGTTTTCTTCTGCAAGCTCACTTGCTCTTTGAGTTCTCCTCACGCTCCTTTCTCCCACGGTGCTCAGGTGGACGTGAAGGTGGGGAGGCCGGAGAAGCCGGGCAGGCCAAGCCGTGGGAGATGGGTGGCACTTTACAATCTAGGCATTAGCAAACGTAACCCAAAATCTTGTATTCTGCAATCTATTTTCCTGCTTCTAGATCAAGGTTTCCGCAATTCTGTGAATATGTGAATATGTCTTCTATTTGTCCAGTAAACTAAGACTACAACTCCCAGCAGCCATAGCTAGCTAACAATGAGAGCTAGAAGCAGGGATCCAAGCACACAATAGTACAAGCACACAAGCAGGGGGATTTGGGGAGGGCTTTGCTGGCATTTGAATTGGAGGTGTAGCCTCACTTCCCTCAAACCTGGTGGGCACGAGTCCCCCCATAGCACAGTTCTTTGGAAAAGGTTTAATAAGGAGTGTTGTAACTTGCAGCTGTTTGCAATGGTGCTTTTGAAGGGGTGGCCCCTTCCTCCCTCCCTTGGCACTCATCTAGGACCTCCTTGCCATTCCTGGCTGTGGGCGAGTCCCAGTGGGGAGGGGGAGGGGAGGGTGGACACAGCCACCTTTCTCAGCTGTTTAATTCCTGAAAGGAAAGGAGGCCAGAGCCAGAACTTGCTTCCTTCTTTCTTCACCCTGAACATTGAAAATCGGATTTTGTGCATCTGAGTGCAATTTGTGAGGAGTTAACCAGATATGCCTACTTGCATTTGCCATGAACAGCCAAAAAGAGCACAACATACTGCTCCCAAGCGAAGTGGCTAGGTTCCGGAGCAGAGAGTGGCAGGCAGATCTTGGGCCAAATGAAGCATGATTTTGTGGCCTCTGATACTGCACGGGGGGGGGGGGGGCTTATCCAGGCTCTTTCCTAGCCTGGGCCCCTTTTGTCTTTCAAAGTCTGGCTAGTTAGCAGATTCTTCTGCATTTTGCCATCTTGTACCTAAAAGGGAGCCCCCCTCCTTGCACCCCAGCCCTTTCCTCCCCTCCTAACTGATGGCGGGACCACTAGGGAGGGTGGCCCCAGTTCCCTTCGCCCCCTGTAGCAATGATGACGGTTCCCCCTTTCTTGGGAAGAGCGGCTGGGTGTCTTTTCTTCCTCTTCCAGGCCTTGAATCTCTCCAGATAGAGAAAGCCACATTTTCTTGCAGGGTGAGGAAACTGACCCCCTCCCACCAAACCTGGTGAAATGGCACCCTCCCTGCTGCTTCCAGACCTCGGCCTGCCCGGGCTTTAGTTCCCCTCGTTTTGGCGCAGGTGGGCTTCTGAACAAAACCAAGACACAACCCATATGTAGCTCTGTCTGTGCGCAAAACCAACTGACAAAAACTTTGTGCTGTGGTGTAGTTTTTAGATGTTTGTAAAGAACAATTTTAAAAAACCAGGAAAAAAAAACAACCCATGTCAACTGTAGTCTCTGGCTCATTTCATTTTGTATAAATCGAGAAGCCAAGAATGATGATTAGATAGGAGTTATTTTAAATGTCATTGTGAGAACAGTGATTTTTTTTAAAAAAAAGATGCTTTGGCTAATATTCTGTGTACAGATTGTTCAGCAGGAAAAGGAAATATGGATGTTTGGCTGAATCGAGCCATGTTCCCACGACCACCATAATGAACTTGTAGTTAACAATCCATGTAAAAAAATGGAGGGAAATAAAAGTTTGAAAAATCTAATGATCTTTTTTGCTTGAATTGTGCTTTTTAATAATCCGAGAGAAATGTCCATTTCACAGGCCACCTTTTCTGTGGGAGCTGCAGGATCTTTTTAAAGAAAGCCAAATCAGTTTGGCGGGGAAAGCTGAGCTTTTGGGGGGGGGGGAGCCTCCCCTGCAGGCAGGGTCTCTCTGATGGGGAGTGGCCCAGACAACGGCACCCCCTGAAGGCAAGCGGCGGGCAGTAAGGCTGGGGTTCTGGCTCTCCTGTCATCGGTCGGAGGGGGTGTTCCAATGCCGGTTGAGTGGGGGCCCCTCTAAGGGTCCTGGGTTGAGCTGCAATCCCCACTGGAGGCCATTTAGCCAACACGTCCGCCAGAGTGCAGGGCAAGTGCCAGGAGCAAATGGATAGTTGACCCTGCTGTCATTTCAGCCAATGCTCCTTCCTGGGAATCCTTTGACAAGGGGAGGGGAAGACATTGCGACCCTCTTCATCTGGGAAAGAACAGCCCCCCCCCCGTGCCAGCTACCTACCTTCCCCACCCCAAAGTGAGCAGACACAGGGAGGAAAGCCCAAGGCATTTAATACACTTCCGCAGACACCAGGCAGGGGAGCAAGCCGGACCGGCACTGACCTGGCAGGGGCACCAAGGGCTGCTCTGGGCAGCTCAAATCGGAAGGAGGCCTGGAAGTCAGAGCCCCCCCGGGCCCTCCGGCCCGGCTTGAGTGAGCCCCTTCTTCCCCAACTTGCCGGCTGCGGACGGGTCGTGCTTGGCCCCTCCCAGGCACCGGGGGCTCTGGCCGACGTGCGCGCCCTTCTCCCACTGCTGCGGGGTCTTGGCCTGGATGGAGAGCGAGTGGACGGGGCCGGCTAGCTCTTCCTGGAGGAGGTCGTTGACCAGGCGGTGCCGATGGATGAGCGAGAGGCCCTCGAAGCGCCGGCTGGCCACCACCACCCGGAAGTGGGTCTCCGATCCGCGCGGCACGGCGTGCAGGTGGCTGTCATTGATGACCTCCAGGTGGAGGGGCTCGAGGGCCGCCTGCAGCTTGGCCCGGATGCCCGACTCCACGGGCTTCTCCATGGCCGACCCGCTCAGCGCCGCGCGTCCGGCCGGGAAGGCTGGGCAGCGGAGGGCACGGCCGAGCGCCAGCAGGCTGGAGGAGAGCATCGGAGAGCCGGCTGGGAGAGCTGTAACACAAACGCCGGGGGGTCGGCGCCCGGGTTCCCCACCGTCCGGGGCGCGCGGGCATCGATGCCCTCGCCAGCTGTGGGCAGCCCACCCGGCTTCGGAAGGGCAAGGGGGCGCTGCGCCGGTCCGGCGCCTCCCAAGGACTCACCTGCCGCGCCCGACCTCCGAGATCGATCCCCAAACCACGCCCCTCCCTGGGCTGCGCGCTGATCGCGTTTCTTAGCTCGCCCAGCCCGCCCGGCTGCCGGGAAACCGAGTTCCTGTCAGCCCGAGGGGCGCCAACGGCACTACACTTCCCGGCAGCCTCGAGGACCCTTCTCGTCTTTTCGCGCTGTGTTGCATTCTGGGAGCAGTAGTCTTTGCGCGCTGTACGCGGTTTTGAAAACAGTCGCTGCTGGGAGCGATGGGGAAAAGCAGGTTCCCGGATGCCGCGAACTACAACTCCCATCATGCTCAGCCAGCTATAGGGCTGTCTCTCCCTTCCCTTTGTCTCACCTGTATCGGAAGCGCAGGTCCGCCGCTCTTTCCTATCGCCCTGAGCGCGCTGCGTCTCCGCGAAGGGGCAATTATGACCTCACCGCGCCGATCCGGGCACCGCGCAGCCTCCTCCAGCGGGAAGCGCCTCGCTGGCATCCGCCCCTGGTCTTCAGGTGTGCGGCAGGTATATTTTCCTTCTGCCCCGTCTGTCAGCGCGCCTCCTGGTCCTGAGCAGGAGATTTCCTCCCGGGGATCACTGTGGCCGGGTGCAGCGACACATCCCTTCCCCCCACCCCCGAGACCCGACTGACTGCATCGAGGGATCCTGAGCCGGCGCAGGCCCGGATTTGCCCACCAGGTGGCGGGCGAGCCATGCTTGCGCTTTCGGCCAGGCTGGTGGGACCAAACCGCTTGTCCAGCAGGAGAAAAGGGGTCATTCCGTCCTGCTCCTGCCCCCCCCCCCAGCTCTCACACGCTGTATTTCACACAGCCTGGATGTCCAGGGCTCCTTTTATCCAGCCTCCAGCTTCATGTCACACTCCATACGCTGTCCCCAACCCGACCCCCTTTTGGCTGCCCCCTCACCCAGGCCAGGTGTACTCCCTTTGGAGCGGCCCTGGCCCTATTGGATCCTCTGCAGTCAAAGGGGCCCAGTGGATGGGGGTCCATGGGGATGTGGGGGAAAGAAGGGGGGAGCTGCCTCCTGTTGGCTTAGCTTCTCGTCCAGCAAAGGCATCAAAGCAGGCCGCTCTCCCACTCTGGGCCTGCTGTCCTCTCTATCTCCCAAGACTCTGTTGTGAGAAGGAGGAGAAAATGAGTGCCCCCTTTTTGTTGTTTTAATATGCTCTGAGAGCTTGGAGCTAGGATGCCTTCGGCTTTTCCGGCTGGCCTTCTCGGGTGTTGAAGTGAGTGAGGATGGCGCCGCAGATGTCCTCCAGCTCCTTCTTCCGCTCCTCATAGGCCTTCTTGGGCGCAAGCCGGTTGTCGTCCATCCACGCAGCCGTCTCCTCACACATTTCCAGCAGCCTCCGCTTGGCCCGGTCATCCAGGGACTTCTCTGCCGCCGCCCTCTTGAGCTGGAGGGTGCTGGCCTCCAGGGCATTGAGGGCTTCCAGCTTCTCCTCCTGCAGTTTCTCCTGCACTCGATGTTCCTCCTCCTCCTGGAGGATCCTCTCCATCTCTTCTCGATCCAGCCGGCCCCGGGTGTCGATGATGGTGAGCTCTTCCTTGTTGCCCGTTTTTCTCTCCATGGCTGAAACAGTGAGGATGTTGTTGTGGTCAATCTGAAAGGTGACCACAATAATTGGGACACCCCGTGGTGCTGGTTGAAGGCCGCTCAGGGTGATGGTGCCCAGGAGACGGTTGTGCTTGGTCAGCATCCGCTCCCCTTCGTAGATCTGCAGGAAGAGGCTCCCCTGGTTGTCCTCCGTGGTGGAGAAGTTCCTGCTCTCTTTTGTGGGAGTGGGAGAGTTGCGCTTGACCAGTACATCCATCACGCCTCCCACCGTCTCCAGCCCCAAGGAGACAGGGGTCACGTCCAGGAGGAGAAGGTTCTGCAGGTTTTGGTATCGGTGGCCCGTCAGAATGGCAGCTTGGATGGCCGCCCCATGGGCCACCACCTCCTCGGGGCTGATGCTTTTGCACAACCGCTGTCCATCAAAGAATTTGGACAGGAGCCTCTGGATCATGGGGATGTGCGTGGAGCCTCCCCCGAGGTCAATCTCGTGCACCTGGCTTTTCTTGAGCCCCGCTTCCTCCAGCACCTGCTGCACCTGAACAAGGGTTGCCTGAAAGAGGTCACCACACAAATCTTCGAAGCAGGCTCGGGTGACCGTGGTGTGGAAGTCAATTCCCTTGTAGAGTGAGTCAATGGAGACTGTGGCTGCCATACTCGAACTCAGGGTCTGCTTGGCCTTCTTACAGGCCTCCTTCAGCCTCTGCATGGCCTTCCTGCTCGCGGTGGGATCCTCCTGGAACTTGTTCCTGAACTCTTGGGCAAGCTGGTTGGTCAGCCTTTGGTCAAAATCCTCCCCCCCCAAGTGGGAATCCCCTGCTGTGGCCACAACTTCAAAGACGCCATCCTGGGCAGTGAGGACGGAGACATCAAAGGTGCCCCCACCCAGATCAAAGATGAGGATGTTTCTCTTCCCTTTGTGTTGGTGGGTCTCCTTGAGCCCATAAGCCACCGCAGCTGCAGTGGGCTCACTGACCAAACTCAGGACGCGGAGCCCTGCAATTGCCCCCGCATCAATGGTGGCCTGGCGCTGGGCATCATTGAAGTACGCCGGGACCGTGATGACGGCCTGGGTGACCGGGCGGCCTAAGGAAGCCTCGGCTACCTGCTTCAGCTTGTAGAGCACCATGGCGGAGATCTCCTCAGGGTACAACTCCTTCTCCACCCCTCGGTAGGACACCTGGACCTTTGCCTTGCCATTGCCAGCCTCCACCAGGTGGTTTGGCCAGTTCTTCAGGTCCGACTGCACTGAGGGGTCGTCGTACCTGCGGCCGATCAGCCGCTTCACGTTATAGACGGTGTTTTCTGGGTTGAGGCTGGCCTGGAGTTCTGCCGGTTCCCCCACCAGGCGCTCCCTGTGGGTGAAAGCCACACAGCTGGGAGTGGTGCGGCTGTTGTGGTCATTGGCCAGGATCTCCACCCTCCCTCTCTGGCAGACTGCCACACAGGATTTTGTGGTGCCCAGATCAATCCCCACGGCTGGACCTTTGGGGCAAATTCTGGCCTTGTCTGGTCTCAGTGTGGAGGGAGTGTCTGGTCTGGAGGTGGGCTTGGGCACGTCTGCATGGCTGAGGTCAGCTCCCATAGGTGGCTCTTTCTCTGAGCAGCCTCTGGCCTTCTGCCAAAGATGGAAAATTGGCAATCCCAGGGGGCAGCTCTCTTGGGTCTGCCCCCCCCCACTTCTCCTGGCCTTTTTTTCAGAGGACAGACACCCCTCCCCCACCACTGTGCATGTCATAATGGGGCCCTGGGACCTGTTGGGAGGCTCGGTGTCCCCTGCAGATGGCAGCCCCTTTCCTCTTCTGTGTCCCAGTGGAGATTCTGCTACAGAGCCCACCACTGTTTCCACCTGGAGAAGATGGGGGGAGGGGCTTTTCTCTTGGGACAGCATCCTGGCCCCCTGCTCCCACTGCTGGGCCTCCTGGGTAAGTGCAGATTGCCTTTGGACAGGCTGTCTGGTTTTATTTTTTGTCCTGGGGAGGGAGCGTCATCCAAGGAGCACCTCTGAGTCACTAACTTCTCCATGACCTTCTAGACCGCGTCAAGAGCCAGACAACGGGCCAGCAGGCCGAGCTGTGTGGCTCTTGTGTCCCTGCACTTTTGAGAAGGCGCCTTGCGATGCTGAAGAGATTACAAGAGAGAGAAGCCACCTTGGAGTTGACGGCCCTCTGCTCAGGCCAGGGAAGGGGATTTTGGCCAGCCGGGCAGCCACTCAGATGATCCTGTCCTGGTCTGCCCTTAATGCCTCTTCTCTTGCTTTGGCCTTCCTGCTAAGCCTTAACTTGTATTTGGACTCTGGTCATGTGACTTGCTCACGGGCTGGTCGGGGCATAAAAACCGTTATTGAAACTAAATGGTTGTAATCAGAGAAGGACTCGTTTTTTACCCATAGTTTTAATGCGCCCTTTGGGTGGAACAGTGTACTCTGGCACTCAGCCGATTCATTCCATGTCTTCCTTCGGCTCGGCGGCCTCAGCCTCTCCTTCCGCCCGCTCTTCCGCCAGCTTGCCGGTGTAGACCGAGTCCCAGGCTTCCTCCAGGTCCTTCTGCTGCTTCTCGCACTCCTCTTTCTCGGCCAAGGGGTTCTCCTCCAGCCAAGAGGCAGCACCGTCACACATTTCCAACATCCTCCTCTTGGCCTTCCCATCCAGGAGCTGCTCTTCCGCCACCCTCTTGAGCTCCAGGGTGCAGGATTCCAAGGAGTTCATGGCTTCAATCTTCTCCTGCAGGCTCAGGTCGTTGGCCCGGAATTCCTCCGCTGTCTGCACGATCGTCTCTATTTCCTCCTTGCCCAAGCGTCCACGGGTGTCCGAGATGGTCAGGTGGCCAGTGTTCCCTGTTTCCACATCCTTAGCTGAGACGGTCAGAATATTGTTCTCGTCAATGGAGAAGGTGACCAGAATGACCGGGACCCCACAGGGGGCTGGGGGGATGCCTTTCAAGGTGAACATGCCCAAGAGGTGGTTGTGTTTGGTCAGGGCCCGCTCTCCCTCATACACCATGAACAAGATGGTGTCTTGGTCATCCTCAGTCGTGGTGAACTCCATGACCTCTTTTGTTGGGACAGGTGAGTTGCGTTTTATGATGGTTGCCATGACACCTCCTTGAGTATTGATTCCCAGAGACAAAGGGGTGACGTCCAGAAGAAACATATTCTGCATCTTGGGCGATCGGTTGCCCGTCAAGATGGCAGCCTGGATGGCTGCCCCATAGGCCACAGCTTCATCAGGGTTAATGCCTTTGTTCAGCTCCTTGCCATTGAAGAAGTCCTTCAGCAACTTCTGGATCTTGGGGATGCGGGTGGAACCCCCAACCAAAATAATGTCCTTGATGTCCCCTTTGCTCATCTTGGCATCTCTCAAGGCCCTTTCAAGGGGCTTCAGGGTGGCTCGGAATAGGTCAGAGCACAGGTCCTCGAACCGTGCCCGGGTGAGGGTGGTGTGGAAGTCAATCCCTTGGAAGAGGGAGTCCACAGAGATACTGGCACTAGTGCAGGAACTCAAGGTGCATTTGGCCCGCTCGGCAGCCGTCTTCAACCTCTGCAAAGACTTCTTGTCCTGATGGAGGTCTCTCCTGTACTTTTTCTTGAACTCCTCTGCAAGGTAGGCCACCAGCCTCTTGTCAAAGTCCTCCCCGCCCAAGTGGGTGTCCCCTGCGGTGGCCTTGACTTCAAAGATGCCGTCCTCCATGGAAAGGATAGAAACATCAAAGGTGCCCCCACCCAGGTCAAAAATGAGGATGTTTCGGCTGCCAGCCTCTTGATTCCTGGCATCCAGGCCATAGGCAATGGCAGCTGCTGTGGGCTCGTTTAGGAGCTTTAGGATCTGGAGGCCCGCAATGACTCCAGCATCAATGGTGGCCTGCCGCTGAGCATCGCTGAAGTAGGCGGGCACCGTGACGATGGCTTGGGAGATGGAGGAGCCCAGGTAGGCCTCAGCTGTTTGCTTCATCTTGGCCAGGACCATGGCAGAGATCTCCTCAGGGTAAAAGGTCCGTTGTTTACCTTTGTGGGAGACTTGGACCTTTAGCTTCTCCTCACGGCTCACCACAGTAAATGGCCAGTGTTTCATGTCCTCCTGTACAGCGGCATCCTCATACTTGCGGCCAATCAGCCGCTTGGCATCGAACACCGTGTTCTGGGGGTTGAGAGAGGCCTGGCTCTTGGCTGGGTCTCCAATCAGGTGTTCTGTGTTGGTGAAGGCCACGTAGCTGGGTGTGGTCCGCTTCCCTTGCTCATTGGCAATGATCTCTACTTTGTCATGTTGGCAGACAGCCACGCAGGAGAAGGTGGTTCCAAGGTCAATCCCAATAGCCAGGTCATTTTGCTTAGGCATGGTGATGTCCCAGAGGGTGGCCGACTCAGGAGTGGAAGGAGGTGACCGTTCTCATGAGAGATGCAGGCGTCTCCCCTTTTCTTTTGCCCCTTTTCCTCTTCTAGGACCAAACAGCTGGACGACCAGGGCTTAGATTTTTCTTAGGGATCATGGCATCATCTTCCTTGCCTAGAGCTGGGCACTTGGGCCTGTCCTTGATGTGAGGGGCCCAGCCTTCCTTTCCAACCGATGCGATGACTTCACTGTCAGACATCACAATGGGGTTTGAACTGACAGCACTTCTTAAGCCATCTCCTATGGCTCACCTGCTTCGTGGGTGGGATCCAAGGCCCCGTTGATCACAGGCTCTCGCTTCCAGAGGAATCAGCTGCAGAGGTGCTGGAGAAGCCCTCCGACTGGACACGGGGATACCAGTGTCCTTGTCACGGTCACTCCTTTGTCCTGTGTGGCTTGGCTGGGGAAAGAAAGCTCTCTTGATGGGGAGGATCGGCAGCCAGCCTGGCTAGGGAAAGGGGGACAAGGCAAATCCTGTAAAGCAGTGGTTCTCAACCTTTTTAATGCTGCGACCCCCCCAAACCGGTGTAAGTCGAGGACTACTCAACCGGTCGTAAGTTGAGGACTACTCCACTGGTGCAGCACCGTTTGCAGAATGGGACTTTTGGCGGGCTCAGCAGGGCAGAGACAGCCTGGACAATTCCTATTGGCTTTGGAAAGCCAATGGAATTAGACTCTATTCAAGAGAGTCTGTTCTATTGGCTTTCGTAGCACAGCTAAGGAAAAGGGGGAAAAAATGGCGGACTGCGTTGTTTGGCGACCCCCGTGAAATGGTTGTTCGGCCCCAAATGGGGTCCCGACCCACAGGTGGAGAACCACTGCTGCAAAGCTAAGGCTCAAGGGGACGTATTTCCCCAGGCATCTGATGCACAGCTCAGTGGCCCTGCCCGTCCTCAGTGCTCGCTCAGGCCCTTGGTTTTGTGCTCCCGCCGTTCAAGCTGAGCAACAATCCAGAGGCTCCAGCTTTGCAGTAATGCTGACTACAGAGCTCCTGTGTCAGCCGTGACCTCTGGGGAGGAAGAGGACCGGTTTCCCAGGAGTGGCCTTAATAGAGACATCTTCAGTGGGAGAGGGGCCTCTACAGAGGCTCAGCCGTTGCCATTGGAATTTGGGGCAGACACTCTCCAAGCCAAGAGGGAGGAACAAACTCCTGCGGATGGGACCACAGAGGCTGCATTGCAGTGCAAGGCTGTGTGTGCGTGCGTGTGCGTGCCTGAGGTTGGAAAAACCCTTGTCCTGACCCTTCCCTTAGTCCTCATTTGAATACAGGCCTCAGCCCCGTAGTGGAAACTCGGTGTTTCTCTTCAGGGGCTACTTGTGGCGGTGCACCTCGGGAGCTGGCAGGACGTTTCTCCAGAGACACCCGGCGGCTGCCATGTGCCCGAATCTCAGCCTGGTTCCAGCTATACAGTCTTTTTTTGGCTCTCTCCTCACCCCCACCGCCTCCAGGGCTTGGGCTGCCCCCACCCAGGGATGCCAGCTGCAGAGGAACAGGTGTGCCTGTCTCTTGATTTATCTGTTGCAGCCCCCTCCTCTCAAAAGCGAGGGGGGTGGAGGGTCCTGTGGGTCTGCAGCCGGTTTTCACAACTTTTGCACAAACTTTCTAGCCAGGGGTGTGAACCAGCTCCTGCTCCACATCTTTGGGGAAAGGAAAGGGCTGCTTGAGACCTCCGGAGCGACCTGCCCACCTTCTCCAGAACATCCACCTTGAGAGGAAGTGCTGGATGACGATGGCCTGAAAGGGGATCCCCAAACTCCACGCTGCTCAGAAGAAGAACTCGAGGTTCACCACTAGGTAAGAAGACCCCAGCCTCTGACTATTTTGCAACCCACAAGCAGACAAATCCTTTCCTGACCAGATATCGTCCTTTCTTGGGGAGAGCAGATGGGGAGATTGGGTCCGGCATCAGAGGATTGTGCACTCTGCTTGCCTGCACTCGCCCCGTGACCACGGGAAAAAGAGGTTCTCCCCACTCAGCTTCTCCTTGAAACGGTTTCTGTTTCAAATGTTTAAATCCCATCGGTGTCTTCTAGTCAGATCGAACCTTGTCTCTCACTGTCTCGCTGGGGGAGAGAATCTACCTGAGGCTGGGCGGTCCCCTCCTTTCATCACGTGACCCAGAGGCCCAGAAACACATGCCCAGAGCAGAAAGGCACCAAGGGGGCTTAAGGACATGCTGGAGTTCCTGAGAACATTCACTTCCTCATGTGTATTCTGCACACACCTATCCGCATATGTGCAAATATGCGAGAGGGTTTAGCCTAAAATACCCCCCCATTCCGCTTAGGGGATCTGAAATAGCAAGGCCTATTTACAGCCTCTGCCTCGGTTGCTGCCTGCGGGGGAGGGATCAGGTTGCAGGGCCTGCAGCCGCTGCCAAAGGTCCTTTTCTCTCCCTTCCACCAAATGCCCATAGCCGCAGCACTGAGGAAAACGCAGGGTGCCCACACAGGAGGCTGGCCGAGGCGCTGTCCAGAGAAGAGCTAGGATCGATCACGCACTGCCTCCGCCCGCTGCTCTCTCTGATGTTCTGGAAAGAGGCAGGTGCAGGACCAGGTGTGGGGAAGGCCTTCCTTGCAATCGGGGTCTTTTCCAGAGGCCAGGAGTGGTGAGGGTGAGAGGCTTCCCTCCAAGGCTGTATGGATTGGAGTGGGGGACCCCCTTCCTTGCCAAGGCTGCCACACCTCCCGGGCAGAGGCTTCCTCCTAAAAACTCTCTTCCTCCTCCTGTGCTGCAGATACGGTAAGGGAAGGCAGGAGGGGTGGGGTCTTTGCCACTCCTGGGGGGCTTTGTTCCAGGAGGCACATGGGTGCCTGGCCCTATGCACTCACCCCAGCTGTTTTTTGCTCCGCACAGTGCAAGCCCGCTGCAGGATCCTGCGCTGCAACTCGGAGTATGTGGCCTCCACCCTCCCCCTGCGGGGTCCTGGCAGGAGGGCAGCCCACTGCCTGGCCTTGCGCGCCTATGCCCGCTGCACCCGCCACACAGCCCGCGCCTGCCGCGGGGACCTGGCCTTCCACCTGGCCGTCCATGGCATTGAGGACCTCATGGCCCAGCACAACGGCTCCAAGGAGGGGCCCAGCCCGGCGCCCCGTCCCCCCCGTCCCCCCGGGGCTGGGTCCCCAGACTTCTGTGACTATGAGAAGGCCTTTGCCCACAAGCGCGGCAGACCACCCGCCTATCAGCACTGCGCTTCCTTCGGGGACCCCCACGTCCGGACCTTCGCGGACGAATTCCACACCTGCCGTGTGGAGGGCTCCTGGCCACTGCTTGACAACCACTACTTATTTGCCCAAGCCACCAACTCCCCCGTGGCCAAAGGATCGAATGCTACAGCCATGAGCAAGGTGACCTGGGGCTGCTTCTGCTCTGGAAGGGGTGGGGTGGGAGAAGGGGGAACCTGGAGGCAGGAGGGAACTGCCCGAGGGACTTTGGGGCTTGGGCCTGCAATCTGAAAATTCTTCAAGTGGCTGAATTGGGAGACCCTCGGGGTAACATCCAGGAGTCCCAAGGGTGGAGATGGATGTCCAGGGATTGGGGCCTTTGGCACAAGCTGGAGGGGTGGAGGGAAGCCCCCCCCCGCTCAGCCAAATGCAGCTCCTCCTGATTCCAGGGAAGGGGTGCCATGGGCTTTCTTCTTCTGCTGCTGCTGCTGACCTTCCCCCTTTTCCAGATCACCATCATCTTCAAGAACATGAAGGAGTGCGTTGACCAGAAAGTCTACCAAGCCGAGACGGACAACCTCCCAGCGGCATTTGTGGATGGCTCTGTGAACGGGGGGGAGCGGCCTGGTGGGGACAGCCTCAGCATCCTCGAGCGGGCTCCTGGGCAGCATGTGGAGATCCGGGCGGCCTACATTGGCACCATTATTGCGGTACGCCGGACAGGGAAGCAGCTGTCCTTCTCCATCCGTGTGGCTGAGGAGGTGGCCAGCTCCTTCACCGAGGAGCAGGACTTGCAGCTGTGTGTGGGCGGCTGTCCTCCCAGCCAGCGCATCTCCCGGCAGCATGGCTGCTGCAGCCACGGCACCATCACGGCCGAGAAGGCCCACCGGCTGTGCAAGGAGAAGCTGCCGGTGGAGGACGTCTACTTCCACTCGTGTGTCTTCGATGTGGTGGCCTCGGGCGACAGCGACTTCACCCTTGCGGCACGTGGCGCCTTGGAGGATGCTAGGCTCTTCCATCCAGATGCCAAGAAGCTTCACCTTTTCCAGCGTGACGCTGCCCGCCAGGCCACCGCCAGCTCCTTCCTCTGCCTCACCCTGGCAGCGATGCTGATGCTTGCCTGGGAGATCTGAACTCTGCCAGCATTGGCAGCACCTGGAGTGTCCTCCTCCTGAGGCTCCAGATACGGAGGCAGGGGGGCTCCCTGGGGGTTGCAGAGCCCGAACCCGCCGCTCAGAGCGGTCCTGCTGGGCAATTCCTGTGGCAACTGAGACTGCTGGGCGGCTGGTGATGTCCGTGGGTTTTTTAAAAAAAGAATGCTTAATATGTGAAGTGGGAGACTTTGAAGAGAAGGGCTTGATGCAGCCTCTGCTGTCTGCTGCAAATGTTTTTCCCTGGAGGCAGAGAGAGGAAGCCTGGAAAGACGGGCCAGCTCCTTTCCCCCTAGCCCTCCGGGTGGGGGGCAGCATCGGAAAACGTGTCCAGGCTCAGGCTTTCTTCCGTCACCAGGGCTTTTGGCCCCTGGTGGGGGGGGGGCTGAAGTGAGAACAAAGGACTGAAATTCAACTGGGGCCTTTACCTGCACGTGAGAATGCAGTCAGGGAGACCAGTCGCCCTTAGCCAGCCACCACCCCCACTCTGGCCTGGGCAGCTTCCCCTGCTGAGCGGCTTTTCCATTCTCACGCTGCAGAGCTCGGTTAATCTGCCACTCATGCTCAGCATCTATTTCTGCAGAACCCCCCCCCCCAGGCCCTGTCATTTGTTTCTCATGCAGCTTTGCTGCTTCTCAACAGGTGAAGCTCAAAATAACAGAGCGGCCTTCCCCCAGCATTGCAGAGACCTAGCCTGGTGTGTGTGTGTGTGTGTGTTTGGGTGGGGGGGGAGTCACACTGATCCTGCCCCCTCCCAGTCCCTGGCTGGGGCCGGACTGTTCCGCCCTCTTGTGGCAACTGACTGCATCTGGCTGGAAGGATGGATTCAGTGAAGTCTTGGGGAGAGCAGGCCGAGGAAGTTCAGGATTCCCAGCCTCCTCCCAAGAACATGCAGGCCCCCCCTACCTCCCATCTGGCTCCTGGGAAGGGGCTTCTTCAGAAAGAGCAGCTGTGCCTCCGGCTGCCACTTGAGGTCACCCAACACTAAAATTTGCTGCTGGGATTTTGCTCAAGCTGGCCCCAGCTTCCTCTCTGCTTTGGGTCCAGATTGGGAGAAGGAAGGCCGTTGGCTTGCTCATTCCCAGACAGCCGTTTTCAAACCTTTGGGGTGAGTATGGATGCCATCAAATGCACTGGAGGGAGACTTGACATTTCCTCCGGCACCACATCCAGTCTTCTATCAGCTGCAATTCCTGCATTAAATGGTGAGGTGGGATGTCTTTGCTTTGATTGTTAGTTCTGTAGAAAGTGGACTATGCACAGAATAATGTCCCTTCAGGAGATGGATGTTTGTATCTGGTTGTGGTCTGAGAAAGCAGAGTCACAACCTAGGATTGCCTGAGTAAACAACCTTGGTAGAGTTACTAATATGTCTAAAGAAAATACGCATTAAGTACCTTTTCCATTTTGTTCTTCTCCTCTCCCCCTCCTGTTGCCTTTGGCTGTCCGATCTTCTATGAAAAGAGAGAAAATATCTTACTAGCGGTTCTATGCATCCTTCCCAGAATATTTGCATTGGTATAGTTATCCAAATGCAACTGAGGAATAAAACTATAATAAATAAATGTTTTTCCTTCATTTTTAAAAAATATTTTGCTAAAGCAAAAGAGCCAGTTGCTACAGTGTTGGTTTATTCCCATCATCCTTGGAGAAACATCTGGACCATTTGCAAACCAAGAAGTTCCAGTGATGCATGCAGGGAGTTTGGACAGCCACCTTCTCCACGTGTGGCAACCCTCTGGCTTGCCTAGAAATAAGCCCCTGGATCTGTGGGAGGGTCCTGAGCCCCTTTTGGCCTGTGAGGTGAACTAGCACAGATTTGAGGGAAGGGAAGGGATGTTTTCTTTAACAGTGCACAAACACCGGCCAAGCCTGTCAACCATCTGGAGAGGCCACTGTGCAAGTGCTCTTACGGCATTCTTCTTCTGTGTCTGGGGAAGGACTTCCTTTTACAATTTTTGGCATAGTTTAACATGAATTTATGGCCTTCTGTGTATGTGTCTTTCTCTCTCTCTCTCTCTCTCTCTCTCTGTGTGTGTGTGTGTGTGTGTGTGTGCCTGCGTGAGATTCTCAAACCAGCTGGCCTTTTCTGGATGTAAGCAACTTGCAGAGGAGAAGGAATGAGAGCCATTCACATCAAGATGCCAATGGAAGCCGTTCAGCCTCCTTGCTGGGCATGTATTCAGCTCAAAATGGACCTTGCCAAGCCTTCTTTTCAGGGTAAATGCATTAAGTCACCCATGTTTTGCAAGAAAAATATACACGAGAGAAAAAAGTGTGTCACACTATTTGCCAACACATTCTAATGTGAAGAATTTTTTTTTTTAAAGGAAGAGAGATGCCTGCAGGAAAAAGGGTGGGATTGATGAAAGGGGGAAAGCAACAGGGGAGGGGTTTGTGTCCCCTTCTTCTCCCCAAATCTCCGTTCCAGGAGCAGAAATGGATTCACGCCAGGATGTCTTTCCTAGCCCCTTGCCTGCCTGGGTGCTTCCCCTGTGTCTACCCAACAGCCACAAGGGAACCACCTTCCGAGCCCTGGAATGGCATTCTCTGCAAAGGGGCTCTCCAAGCTAGCGGGACACAGGCCATGCCACGAATGCTGCCCCTTTCTCCTTAGCCTCCTCTGGAACCACACAAGGGATCCCGCGGCAGATGATGGAGCTGGGGGGCCCTGCCAAGGCCAGCCCAAAGCACCCACTCCTCCTGAGGGATCCCTCTTGTGCAAGAGATGGCAATCGCCCTTCCCCAGGCCTCTGAGCCCAGGCTCTCTGGCCCTGCCATGGCCTCTTTAGCACCAGCTCTGCGAGGCTCCGGGGTCCACCTGCTTAATTAAAAGGAGCCTCTGTTTCTGCACGATTGAAATCCTCAGAGAGAGAGGGTCTAATTAAATAAGGATGAAAAATGTGTCCTCTAAGAGTCCTAAATAAATAAGAGGCCACACTAAGTCAGGCTGGCCCAACAGAAATTAGATTCCTTTGGTAGCGATTTGGGACAAGAACTCAGAAGACGGAAGATGCAGAGGTCTCCCTCCCACTCCCCAAAGAGGGGGCAACCTTCAGCCATCCCCCAAACGCCCAGAAGCTTTTCTTTCATCCCCAGCCCAAATTTCCAGGAGCAAAGCGGCTCCTTCTCGTCTGCAGTGCTGGAGACTGGCTGCTGCATGCAAAATCTGCCTCTCCTTTCGGAAAGAGGGTGGCCAGGAGCCGTCATCTTACGCCACCCTGAGCCCCTCCCCACTCTATCTGCTTTCGGACAACCACAGACAGTCCCTGGGCCCTCGTGCAGGAAGTAAGGGAAGAGGTGCTGAAGGCACCTTTTGAGGGTCATTTCTTCAAATAATTCAGTGTTTAAACTATTGTAGCACACATGACAACAAGGTCAAACATGTTTACAAAAAGTAATCATTGCAGTTACTACCAGGACGTTTCACTTCATTTAAACTCTATCACAAAACTATGTAGCAGAAACCAGGCAAACAAAACTGAAAACAAGGAAAAACGGGAAAGAAAGAATTCAAGGTGTTGGATTGCTCAGGGCTGGACTGCTGCAGAGCAAGAGAGCGGCTTCTCCCTTGGTGTGGCTCCTTGGCCCCATTTGACGGTCTGCAGAACCGCTTCGCCCCATCCGGGTGGCAATGGAGGAGCCCAGGCACCCGGGGAGAGGCAGACACCGAGGCCAGCACAGATTTGGCATCTCTGGCTTGAGCTAATAAAGGTGTTGCCTTAATGCAGATTCAGAATTATGCAGTGATAATCTACGGATGTTGCAGAAAAGAAAACATTCATTTGATAATCTTCTTTGTAACATGGGGAGGGGCGGAGAGAGGCATTTAATGGCCTTAGATGTTCAGGCAAGCTCTTGATGTGAGCTGTCCTGTGATTTAATTAAACTGCTATCCCTCAGCGCTGGTGCTTCACGCTCCAAAAATAGGTGACATTGAGGTTTGTGAGAAAAAGGCTATTCCTTTTGCTTAAAAAAAATTGTTCTGATCAGCAAAAGCCATGCTCAGCAAATAAAAGTGCCTATTTGCTCACAATAGGAAAATATAAAAAGGAAAGAGGAAACAAATTTGCACCGTACATCAGAGATCCGCAGGGATGGCTGACAGGCACCTCTAAACACGGCCACAGACGTTGTCCCAGCCGGGAATGCCAGAAAAGGCTCCCGAGGCTCCGTTCTATGGAGGTAGAGAAACGTACAGCATCCGAGAAGCATTTCAAGACGAGCTCCAGAAGGGCAGGTGTGCCGTTTGTGCAGAGGGGGCCTGGCTTCCCCCTAAACTGGCTCCATCACAAAGCTCAAGAACAGTTTCCTTCCTTCCATGCTTTGGGCAGATTCCTTGGTCCTCCTTGTGCTTCCCCCCGCCCCATGGGTGTTTCTTTCAACATCCACATGTCTTGCTCTCCCAAAATAAGGGCAGCGACTCTGCTCTTCCTCCCCAGCTGCTCCAACAATAGAGCAGAGTGAAGGAATGAAAGCAGTCGAGGCAGGAGAGAGGAAAGCGCACCTTTTGCTGACTTCTGTGACTTCTAGCCAAATGCTCTGGTGCACGTGGAGGGCCAGACTCCCTTTGGCCCGAAGGGAAGGACGGGGTTGCAGATGGCAGCTGTGAATGAGGGGGGAGGGGGGCTTCTACACTATATTATAATAGCAACTACAGTAATGGTCACTTCCTTAATATTCAGATTAGGCTCCTCACCCACATTTTGCAGGTTAAATCACAAGTCAAAATATGAACAACGGGGAATGTCCTGCAGCCATTTTCAGGAGAGCGGCAGAGGACTGTGCCTGCCTGCGCTGGGCCAAGGCTTGTGGGCTGGTGCCAGGTGAGGCCAGGCGGGTGCCAGGAAGCTGCCGTGCTTGGTGAGCTGCAACATCAAGGAAGGCTGCTTAGAGGAAGCCCGGTGCCAAGCGAGGCCCAACTCCCCAGAGGCTCCCAGGGGTATGTTTAGCTGCTTTATGGGAAAGGAAATCAAATTACACTTTATCATCACTGCCACCAGCGTGAAGAGAGCAAGATTAGCCTCTATCCAACCTGCAGCAGTTACAATATTGCTGATTATCAGCCTCGCCAAGCCGTAAATCACAGCGGGACCACTGTTTGGTAGCTTCTCTTCCCTCTCCTATTCTCACAAAAACAGCAAGGTGACAAAAGGGCAGCTCAGTTTCCTCCATTTTGGCCCTTCAGCCTCTCCATGCTCCTCAGCTCTGGCCAGCTGGTCCAGAGTGGAAGGAGAAGCAGCAGAAACGCAGGAGACATTTTCAAGACCCCGTCCCAAAACCTCCCCTTGCCCCCACCCCCTGCCAAGGAGTTGCTATTCCTGAGTCTTAAAAGGGGGGCATGCAGGGGCCCTTCTTGCCTCCCCCCACCAAATGAAGAGAGAGCTGGAATCACCTCCCCCTCCTCCTAAAAGCAGAGGAAATCGAAGGTAGTGTGAAGGTGATTTAATGGGGGGCGCTAAAAAAAAAAAGCAGCACCTTGAACCATTTTGCAAAGTTTTGTTGATCCATGCTATCTAGATCAAAGCCTCCCCCCAAGTTCCTCCTGCATTCAGATCTCTCTCTCTCTCTCACACACACACATACACACACACTGTTCCTCCTGCATTCTGGGTAACATGCTGTCCTTCTCTGGCAGATGCTGGATTGGCTGCTCTCAGCCACCTCAAACTTTGTACCACACAGTTCGTACCAAAAGAGAGGAGGACATGTCCCATTTTTTAATCGTTTATCTTTATATATATAAAAATTAAATATATATTTATATATAATATATTGTGTTTGAGATTAAAAATATAGTACATATTTTTTAAGAATGAGAAAAGGAACATTTTTTTTAAAAAAAATGAGGTGAGGGAAGGAAGTTATCGGACAATCACGAATGTGTGTCTCTGGGAAAGAAAAGAAAAAAAACACGCTGGAGGTGCCCTCTCCCCCACGCCCTCACCTGGCGCCCAAAGAGCCGGAGGGGCCCAGGGCTCTGATCGCAACGTGCGTTTTGGAGCTGTAATTAGTTATTGCTCAAATTCTGGATGTCCATGAAGGGGGGGGGGGAAAGTAGGGAGGGAGGCAGTTTCTCCTTTTGATTGGTGGCTGAGACTGCCTGCGTTCACATGACTGTTGAGGATCCAGCAATTGCATTCATACATGACAAACTTGGCCAATGTTAATGCTGATTTGCTTGCAGCCAAGCAAGTTGTATGAACCCAGGCTGTTGGGCCTTTCAAACTGGAAATGGGCTCATTCAGGAATGAGGCTATGCGCATGGCAGGTTGTGTGAATGCAGCCACGGGCTTAGAATTGGTGGACTTTGTTGCTTTTGGCGCAGAGCCCTGTCCCCTCTCTTCAACTCCCCCATTTCTCCACTTCCTGGTGAGCAGAGGGCAGATGCTGCAGGAGCTCTATTCCTGGCACCTCTGGCAAAAAAGGGAGGTGGGGCGGGTGGGTCTGCTGCCCAACTCGGCACACAGCAACTTCCCTGCAACTTGCAACGTGAGACTGATCTGCAGCTCCCTCGCCCTCTCCAGGAAAGATGGGAGAAGTGCAACATGAGTAGCAATTCTGGAAGATTTTGCACCCTGAACCACCAAACTCACTTCTCTTGTTCCCCGAGGAGAACCGAGCAGAAGGTACCTCTAAAATGGGCACCCTGACAATCTTAGAAAGGAGCACTGGAAACACCCCTTGGAAAGTGCCCTTAGATCCAATGGAGGCCCTTCCTGGATTTTCCAGCCCCATTGCACTGGGGCAGCAGGGGACTGATAAAGCGGGACCCCAAATAGCACCAACATCCATTCAGCTGCAGAAAGAGACACTTCCCAGAACCAGCCAGAAGAGGGCGCTGTCTCAATGCACTTCTTCAGAGAGCTGTTCCCAGGCAAGTGCAGAGGGCTCCAGAGTACCTACCAGAAGAAGCAGCATGCAAAGGACTTGGGTACCATTGGTTTGGGGGGGGGGAAGAAGGTGGATTCCCAGTTATGTGTCCTGCTATACACCTGAGATATGAACTGTGCCAAGGAGCTCCCCCCCACGACTTGCTTTGCCTTCCTAGTGGGTGCACCAGAGCAAGAGTTTTAAGGCACAGGAGACCGAAGGGCTTGCAGTCACCCCCTAACAAGGAGGACAGGATAATAGGGGTTGGAGTGAATTGTCTGCACAGACACACAATGACCCACAGCATGCTTTCGTCAGCCTTCTGCAACAGCTGGGGGTCCAGGCTGGAGACAGAAAGAAGCCATGAGCCCTCCTGCGGGGGATGGGACAGGCCTGTAAGGAGGTGGCCATGTGGGAGAATGGAGGCCAAAGGCCAGTCTCCAGCAGGCTGCAACCAGGCTGCCCCAGAGGAGGGGGTTCAAGCAAGAGGGTGGGTGGAGGGTGCAGAAGAGGCTTCCTCCACGATGGCTACTGGCTACCGTGGCAGAAGGCTTGGGGGAGGGACCCACAGTGCCACATCTTGCAAAGGCCCTCCTGGCTGGCAGGCAGGTCCGCTCTTGTGAGTGGGTGGGGGGGCACCTGAGAGCAGTCCCATCCTCCCCCCCCATAACTGCCCTGTCCAGGACCCACAGGATGCAGGTTTTATGGACACTTTCCTGAAAGAGAAAGGGGGGAGGAATCGCCCCCAAGGAGTCCATTTCGTACCAAAATTTGCACAATGCACAGCTGTGGCCAAGGTGGGCAAGACTTTCACTCCATCGGGGGTCCGGAAGGGATGCAGACTTCAGTTTTGATCGTTCCCAGACAGCGTCACCCAAGTGCAAACCAGTTCTCTTAAGAGGGGCTTTAAGGAGGCAGCTGTTGCACCCAAGGCTGGCCTGACCCTGGCTTCTCCAAAAAACCAGGGCTGAAACTCAACGGATGCCCCCCTATTTGGTGGCTACCTCCAACCACTAGGCCTCACTGTACCGAACTGGGCTGACCTCCTGTTAATCCCATGAATGGAAGGCTGCCCGCTGCTTTTGCCTGGGGCTGCCAATGGATGCCTCTTCTGCATGTAAGATGGAGAATAAGTTTCAACAGAGGCAGGATAGAGATAATTACTGCTCTGTGGGGGCTCCATTGCCCTCCCCACTTATCTGTCTTTTACAAAGAGGAAAGGGGGAGCCCTTGAGGATGGGGTGTCTGCAGAATCTGGACCCTCATAAAAGAACCGTCAGAGAGTTAAAGCAGCAAGGAAGAAACTGCAGAAGAGCAGCTGGATCGGCGGCCACCGCATTATCCTCAACCGGGCAGCAGGTGCCATGCTCTGCATTGTCCACAAGTCCAGCCTGGAAAGAGGCTGGGGAGGAGGAGAGGGAAAGAGCCCCCTGAATATCAGGGGGCAGTCATGAGGTACCTGCACCCATCAGGATGCAACACCCACTTCAGACGTGAGTCTGCATGCGCTGCTGGAAACGCTGCCCGTAGTCTGAGGAGGTGTACGAAAAGCGGGTTGATGCGGTGTACTTTCCCAGGGGGTCGTATGTATCATAGGTTGCCCGGTCCAGGGTGGGCGGTGGAGGCTGGCTGTAGCCTAGGCGGTAGGTGGCATAGCTGGCACTTGGGGGAAAGCCCGAATGACCCCCATAGTTTTCGTACGACAGCTGGCTGGCCGTGTCAGCAGTGGCCGTGCCCGGTGTGGGCCCCGGGACTGGGTCTCCACTGTAGTCAGAGGCAGGGCCGCGGCCATAGCTGCTGAGCTGAGCATAGCCACTGGAATGGGAGAGGCGTGAAGACGGCCGCCCATCGTAGCGAGACGGGCCAGGGGCGCGGTAGTCTGTGTAGAGCACTGTGCGGGAAGACGGCCTGTCCTCGTGGGCACGAACATTATAGTAGCCATTGGTAGGATCCTGGAGGACCAACAGGGAGAGAAATACAGCAGCTGTTCACAAGGCAGCTTCACAATCACTACTGAATACAAAGAATGAAAAGTGGAAAGGAAAAGCCCTCCAGAAGTAAAGCTCTGCCTGACAGAGGGAGCCCCCCCCCCAAGCATTTGGGTGCTGCTGTAAATGTCACTGGCTGGAGGGGGCTCTGAGGTGACCCCTTCAGTGGAGCTCCTGTGCTTCATAGCAACAAGGGTCCTGGGAGCTGAAAGGAAAGACCCAAACTCTTCCAGGCAATGGACTACAGCCCCTCACTCCTGGGCTGCCCCATGGCAGAGCACCAAGCTCCCTCTGGTCTTTTAGCAGCCCCAGCCAGACAGAGAGAGGCAGGGGCTGCTAAAGGCTCTCCAGCTGGGGCCAGCAACCTCCCTCTCACCTTCAGCTCATATTCTTCCCGCGTGTCCACCGTGTCACAACGCAAGTCCTGCTTCAGGTCCACGTCATCCTTGAAGGGCTGTAGGAGGCAGGGGGGGGGGGCAGGAAAAGACCCCAAATTTCAGCCAGGCAATCTGGTTGTCGTACTTTGCAACATCCAAAGTTCTGTCCCTATTCCTCTCTTGTGGGCATCCTGAGGAAATCCTACGGCCTAGCAGTTTCCCAGGGAGTTTGTCTTAGGCCATCACCCTGTCAGGCTCACCATGGCTCTTTGCTCCATTGATCTCTCTCTGTGACGAGTGGGTTTCCCAGCTCTGACCCTTCTCACCGCCTCCCACAGCTCACCCATAACCCTCAACAAACACATTCCCAGCCACAAACACTCCCACTGCCTCCTCAGTCTGAGCATCATGTCAAAAGAGAAAACATGACTTGCATGCCTTCTGACCCAGCCAGTAGTTGAGTTAAATGAGGAGTGGCAGTGGGCAGGTCCTCCCTCAGGCTTTTTGGATGAAGGAGCCAGGTGTGGAGGTCCCCTCACCGAGTAAATGGCCTTCATAACCCGCGGTGCGGTGGAGACGCTGGCCGTGTCCTCCTCGCGGTCCGTGTGCAGCGTCAGGGGTTCCCGGTTCACCGTCTCCACCTTGATGTCCAGCTTACGCAGGGTCACGTCTTTTCGGCCTGGGCAAGAGAGAAAATTCAGGGCATTTTTGATTCCTGGCAGAAGGAGAACCCCAGAGATTTCTCAGGCTGAGCCACCAGTGCTTAGCTACGCTTCCCTCAAGATATAGTTCTTCTGCCAGGCAACCGGAAGAGCACCCAACCAATTTCCCTAGGGGAATAAAAAGTCCAAGGTCTCATCTGATGTGCCCCGGAAAGGGCCACTTAAGAGCTTAGGAAGCAGATAATCCTCCCTGGGCTCGGCTTGAAAAGGCAATGTAAGAAACAAAGGGGCATAGAAGCCGAGTTTTGGTCAAATAAGTAAATGGAGCTTCCCCAGCTAGGAGCAGTATGCTGCTAAATAAATACCAGTTGGCCCTCTGTAAAGCAGATCATGCCCCGATTAACCCATGCACACCAGACACTCACTCCCTTTGCGACGTCGGTATAGGAAACAGCCCAGCGCGATGAAGCAGAAGATGAGCAAAATACCAGCTCCAATGGTGGCACCAGCAATTATGCCCACTGGCAGAACCTCTGCAAAAGGGGGAGTGGGAAGCAATGGGAAAATAAGGCTCTTTCCAGGGATCAATTAAGCTTTTACACATTGACTTTGTCCTTTTACGTCTGAGACAAAGCCACGCCATCTCCTTGCGGGGGGAGGGCGGGGGAACAGCAAGCAAAGAGAGGCAGCACCAGCCCCATTAGAGAGAAACCAAGAGGAACCTCCTGGCTCTCAGAATTGGCAGCAGCCTCCAAACCCAGCAGCACCATCAAAAGGCAGGAGGTTACCTGGAATCAGAATGGGCAGAGGACTGCTGAACTTGCACACTCAACCCCCACTCCCCCCCCCCACTCCTGGTCTTCCCTGGGGCACAAGGGCAGCCGCTAGTGAGAGCCTTCCTGGCACTTGCCAGCTCCCCCCTTCTGATTGCCCACCTTTCTCCTCCAACTGAATGATGGCTGTCCGCGGACCGAAGGCATTCCAGGCAGTGCAGTTGTAGCGTGTCTGGAAATCCACCTCCATCACGTTGTTGATGGTGAGGGTGGAGAGCACCCCATCACCCGTGTTGCTCCGCTCGACAGTGTAGCGCTCCAAGGTCCCCATCTCCAAGATGTTCTCCTTCCAGCCCCAGGCCTTTGAGGGAGAAGAGGAAACAGCTCTTGGCATCCATCCATCCATCCGCCAGCCAGGCGGGTCTCCTTCCAGATCCCTAAATACATCCTGCTCCAAGCCAGTATCTTTAACGGTGCCCTCAGGACTCACGATTCGGTCGGGGAGGGGCGTGCTCCCAATGAAGCATTCCACTTTTCCTCGGTCACCCCGCACAGCATACTGGATGGAATCGCTGGAGATGATCGGCGGACCTGGAAAAACACGGAGGAAGGACAGAAAAGGTGTTAGGAGACCAAGACAGTCAAAAACCCAGGAGGGCCAGCTAAAGTGGTCAGCAGCCTCCCCTCTTCCCTGGGGTGCATCCCTCTGGAAAGGCCCAGACAAAGCAGCTGCCACCCACAGCTGTGCCCAGTTGGTGAGGGGTGTCCCTGCTTTCACTCACCATTGACAATGAGGGCCACTTCACGCTCGCCCACCCCGATCCGTGGCACAATGGCCTTGCAGACGTACAGCCCTGCGTCTTCCTGCGTGACAGACTTTATGTACAGCTGGTTGCTGTTGCCAAGTATCTGGGGGTGAAAAAAGATGCAAGATGCCTTTGGTGGGGGGAGAGAGAGCAGGTCCATCATGGAGCAGCACCTTCCCTCCCTTCCTCCTGAGAAAACCCAGTCAAGATATGGGTGCAACCCTCCATCCCAAACTGGAGCTGCTTCTAAGAAAAGATTGCTGCTGCCGACACACACACACACACTCACACACACACACAGCAATCTGGTCCACTAGGGCAAGGAGGGAACACACCATGTTGGATTCCTTCTTGGCCCAGGTGAGGGTCAGTGGAGGATTCCCGGTCCACACACAGGTCAAGGTGACATCTGAGCCAATATCGGTGGTCAGGGGCTTTGGATCCACCACGATGCGAGGAGCAACTGGCAAAGGAGAGCAGGATAAGAGATGCTACGAAAGTGACCCCTCTTCCCTCAAGGGCCCAAGGGGACACCAGGGCCCCAGGTGGCGATCAGAGGCTTTGGGGCTGAAAGTGCAGGCAGGAGGCGTGGCTTTCCTTCTCCCGTCTCAGCCTTGGCAGCTATCCCCCCACTCACAATGGACGTCCACCAGGGTGCTGACGTTGGTGCTGCCCACGTCGTTGCGCACTTCGCAAGAGACAGGCTCTGTGAAGAAGGTGTAATCCACCTGCGTCTCGTATTTGCTCTCCTTGGCGTCCTCAATAATCGTTCCACCTTTGGCCCACCTGGCGGGATGGGAGAAGAGCTATCCCATCAGGTCAAGCATTGGGGGGGGGGAGTCAGAGGAACCTCCATGCAAGAGCAGGTGAGGGTCCAGAGGTCCATCATTCCCATCTGGTCAGTGCCTAGCTCACCTGTAGCCTTTGATTTCTGGATTGGCGTTGGCCAAGCAGGTGAAGGTGACTCTTTCTCCTTCCTGCACCGTCTGTGGCTGAATGGACAGCGTCACCGTTGGAGGATCTGCCATGCAGAAGGAACGGTTAACAGCCATGTAGCCGATGGCTACTTCTTTTCTTTGACCTGACTACCAGTTGGGAGCAGCACCCCCAGATTTCTTGACCCCCATCAAGCTCCTCCTCTGCACCCTACATGCCAATGCTGTTGGCATCCTCTTTTGCCAAGAGGTCTAACAACTAAGCTGTCACACACCAGCTGGTCATTGTCCCAGCCAGGGTGAATTCAGAAACCAAAATATTAACCAGCTCCAGCAAGGACACTTTGCCATCTCTTCTCTTCCAATTTTTCCCAGACCTAAGCCATGGCCAGCAAATCAGCCATGCCCCCCACTTCTGAACAAAAAGATTGGGGTCCCCTGATGACCCAAAGTGTCGCTCCTTACGGTGAACGTTGAGCTTGATGGAGGCCTCCGTGCCTGCAGGGATGGCATCGTTGCTGCAACGGCACACATAGACTCGCCCAATGTCCAGGTCGGTGGGCGTGATGAGCAGTTGGCTAATGGTGGTCTCTCTCTTCCCATCCATTAAGACTTCCTGGAGAGGCAACAGAAGCTGAAAGTCTGGGGACATGGCCAAGGTGAGCCGGGGAGCCGTCAGAACTGAGACCGCAACTCTCTTCTCGTTAGAAAAGCATGGCTGACCCTCCCTGCACTCAGGATGCTGGCTGGGCATTGTACTCCAGTGAACAAGGTGCCTCCCCTCCCCCCCACACAAAGGACCCCAAGGGAGGCTTCTGCACAGGTTACCAGAACTGAAGCAGCAACACAGCCTTTTGTTAGAAAGATTCCCAGCAGAGAAACCTGCTCTGATGGCAGCAACCCTCAATGTGCCCTGCCCCAAATCTGGGGGTAATTGCACCAATCAAATTAGCCTGGAACCAAAACGTTCCAGCCATGCCTGTTAAATACCCAGCGAGGTTGCCCAAATTAATGTCAATGCACCATAAACTGCTTGGGGATTAATGAGTAAAAAACAGCCTCGCCAGAGCGAGGAGGTTGCCAGTGCGATGGTAATTCTGGATTTTGGTGGAGAGAAATGAATTAAGAATTTAAGAATTGGGGAGGGAGGAGGGAAGCACTCCCAGGAGGAAAGAGGAGGTGGAGAGAAACTACTTGCAGCTGAGCAGGATTCGCCCTTCGCACAAGGCACTCCAGGCACAGAGGCTGAAATCTGCAACGCCTCTGAACACTCAAGAGATGCTGGGAATTAGGGGAGCTGCAGTCTGATATGGCCAAGGGGCAGCGAGTTGGGCAGGCTGGGATTCCATGGCAGATCTTGGCCTCTCATGGTGTCTGGGAGTCGGTTTCCTCATGGTACCTGCAGACCCCGAGCAGCCCTCCCACCAACGTCGCCCAGTGTACCGTGGCAGTAGCAGCTTCGGACTGTGGCAACCCATCGCGGAACCAGATGATTGTGGCCGCGGGCTTGGCATTTTGTGCCCGGCAGGTGAGGTTGTGTGGTGTGCCCGCACGGAGCAAGATCTCGGGGGCCCCATCAATCACCGGGTCTTCAGGAGGAACTGCAAGGGAAGCAGACAGAGCCAGCCACAGGTCAGGATCCTGAATAGAAGCCCGGCTGGTTTGGGGACCCAACACTTGGGCACATCATCCCATCCCCAATGGGAAAAGTAGGGAGATAACAGGCAACCCCATTCCTCACTCTGTTTAGAAAGCACTGAAGTGTCTGGAAAAGAAAACAGTCAGCACCCGGAGCCACTGGGAGTGTCCCTGGCCACGAATAGCTATTCGCAAAGGATAGGGGGGCGCAACTTGAGAACATGGGACAGGGAGGCAGCAGGAGGGGAGGGGGTTCCAAATTTCTGGGGCTCCAGCCATGTTTTTCCAAGAGGGAAACTCCCCCACTCACTGAGGACTGTTAGCTTGGCACGCCGTGATCGCAGGGCAGCCTCTGTGGCCTGGCATTCATATAAGGCATCATCGGAGAGAGCTGCATCAGTGATCTCCAGATTGAACTGGCCGGAATCCGTCGCCCCGATGATCCGGTAGCGTGGCCAGGCTGAGGAGAGAAAGGCAGGTGAGCAGGGCTGGGTGCCCAGCCAGCATCACCCCCCCTCCTGCTTGGCCTGCCCTGCCTGCAAAGCCACACCTGAACGTAGCCCAGGCCTCATCAGTCAATGGCAGAAGGTAAACTTTGTCCTTAGAGGGTCTGCAAGGAGAGGCTTGACCTCCCCAATCAAGTGAGGGAAGTGTAGTGCCATTCCCAGTGGCTGTGAGATGGGGGGGTCAATGGCCCCACACAGCAAATTGCCCCACCCTATGAAACACAGGGCAAGGAGCGCAACTGGCTCCCAAAGCAGCCTTTTCTCCTGCATGGAGTTGGGTCACCTTGCTGTAAAATTCGAGTGTCTTAAACGGTGGATGATCACTTGTGAGGAATGAAAACAGGCTAGGCAGACGTCCGCAGAATAAAAGATCATGGAAAACTGCCACGTTAATTAATAAGAGGCGGCAAACGAATTGGGGGGAGGCTCCGTCCTCAGCGCTCTGTGCTGGAGAGGTGGCACTGTTGGGCTGCCCAGAGTGAAGCTCCTTGGAAGGAGGCCAGCTGATGCGGGGAGGGGGGAGGATGCCCCCAGCACTGTCCCTGAGGGGAGCTGGTGTTTTCAGAGATGATGCCCTGTGGCGGGCAGGGGGTGAGCAAGGGTGGGAGGTAGACAATTTCCAGAGAAGATATGCCATAAAAAGCCCCCCCCCCCCGGGAGAAGAGAATCCCACCTTTGAGGCCTTGTCCCATCCCCAGAGCCAGGCCATCTTTGGTCCACTGCACGATCCCGGAGTAGTTCAGCACCACACAGGACAGCACGCCCTTCTGTCCGGCCACCACCGTCTGGTCCTCTGGTTCTTCGATGAAGCGGGTCTGGAGGACTGAGGGGAGGGGGAGAACAGGGCGGGCTGAGTTCTTCTGCAACAATTCGTGGGAATTGGATCTGCAGAACTGCCATGAACAGTGGCAGTCCACCTGAGAGAGGCTGAGGATGGCAACAAGCAAAACAGCCTCAGGAGCCTCCTTTGTGAGCCACAGTCAAGGTGAGTCCCCGTGCATTTTAGGACTGCAGGTGCATGCCTGTCTGTACTGACTGATTTAAAAACAGCAACAACTCAGAAAACTGAGTAACACTTTTATAAATGACAATACACAATAGGAACGACTGTGTCTACTTGGCAGGGCTGCTGCGATGTACACGCTTAAAAATTGCAGGGTGGCGTTATTTTCTGAATCCTGGCAAGACTCTGCCTCCCCCTCGCCACAATGCATGCGTGAGCACAGGTGTGCACACCCATTGAGGCAGAGCGGCTTCCTCATGCCTGCCAGAGGGGCTCGGGGGAGGCGATAGTCATGATAAGCAGGCACTGCAGAGATTTCATTTAAGGTTGCTGTCACTTCTCTCCAGATAAGAGAAAGCGCTGCAGTCTTATTGATTGTTGAGCCAGGAAGAAAAAAATTCCAGCACACGTCACAAGAAATAATTTGTGTATGGAGAGAAACTATTTGCGGGGCCAAGAGCCCCCTTCCTTCACACCCCCTCTTCTCCCAGAGCAGAGATGCCTCCCTCCGGATGCGCAAAGCCTGGCTTGGCACTTGGCCCCAGAACAGGGGCAAACTGGCAGGGTCTGTGGGGCGCAAGAGAAACAGCTGCCTGCCTGGTGGGAGACAGGACTGGACTTGGAGGCTGCAGCGTTCCTCCCAGTCTGGAAACTGGGAATAAAATTTTTGGGAAAACCATCTCCACGTGCTTAGGAGCAAAGCAAACAAGTGGGTGAGGGCCGCCCCATTCTGGAGTTGCCTTCTAGCCCAGCCAGCTGGGTCTCTTCCGTTGATGCTGCTTCAGGGGACCCGGATCCACCCCCCTTCCCTCTTTCTCCAAATCTCTGGCCCTTTGGGGAAAGAGGGGGTAGGGATTATGGCCCCCCCCCTGTGCCAATTCAGTCCAAATCACTGAAGGCTGTGTTCAAAACAGAGCTTGCCCCCTTCTCCAGAGTACAGCTGCTTAAAATGCTGGTCTTCTCCAACAGTGCTGGGGAGAGGGATGATCCATGGTGCCGGGTCCCAGCTGCCCTTCGGGTCTCGACACGTGTCTCTTGGGGCTTTTTCTTGAGATGCAGGAAAGGACAAAATGAGGAGGTCGTCACAGCTGCCTGAAGCCAAGATTTGGGGATGCCCAGCAGATCCTAAGTCCTGGATGGAGCTGCAGAAACTGGGTCAGCAGCTAGTGCTGGAGGCTGAACCTCTAGATGCTAATGGACTACAACTCCCATCCTCTCGCAAGACGAAGGTGGCTGGCAGCCAATGACAATGGCGTTTCAATCATATGGAGCACACAGGGCTTCGAACTGTTGAATGCCCCATCCGGTTGGGGTGAACACCTGGGGGGCAGGTGGATGCCTTCTTTCCTTCCTCTGGGGCCCTCCTGGCCCTCAGCTCAAGGCGGGGAGAGGGGAAGGGAAGGGGCCCAACCGCTCCCGGCTAAGGAAGACTAAAGGGAGCACTAGAGCCAAGCAAGGGGGGCTTTCCTCAAGCCCATCCCTCAATTTACCAACAGGAAGGCTGATTAAAGCCGCTCCGGTCTCTATTAAAGCTTTTCATTTCCACCAACAGCTTTCAGAAGGAACTAAATCTCCCTGCTCAGACTTTGAGGTTTTATCGCCTTTTCTTCCCTGGGTTTCCTCCCCCCGCCTCTTTAAGCCTTTTCCCCAAGCCACTCACTTTCTCCCTCCATAAAAGCAACCTGTGCATTGTGTCCTCTAAGGAACGTGGAAATAAAACAGCTGGCTGCCCTGGGCGTTTTGGAGAAGAGAGGGAGGGTCCTGCGAAATGCCCTCCTTTGGCCGTGTGTGAATCTAGCAGGGGAGGAAAGCCACCCAGGGACAGGACAAACTGCTCCCCCCCCCCAGCTCCAGTTTGCCTCCTTGAGCCTCCCCCCCCCCAGGTTAAGCAGCACCGAGGGGCTGCCCATCTGCTACAAAGCCCCCCCCCCCAACCTGCCAGGGGCGCTGCTGTACATTTGATGGCTGGCTGGCTGGAAACCCGCTCCTCCTTGCCCCCCCTTCAGCCCACTCACTCCGCCAAAAGCATTTCTCCAGCCCTGAAAAAGTAGAAACAAGACAGGCGACTCGCGTTCAAAGCAGCAAATGAGACGAACAGAGATCTGCCAACTAACTGACGGGGAACAAATTTAGGTCTGAGGAATGGAAAGAGGAAAGAGGAAGGGGAGGAGGGGTTTTGACAGGCAGAAAAGCCACAGAAGAAGACAAGCGATTGTCTCGGCAACCTCCAGAAGCAGCCAGACATCAAGATTTGGCAACATCAAAGTTCACGTCGGAGCCATTACCCGTGCCGTGTGCCAGGGAAGCAGCTCTCCCTGCATCTGTCTGGCAGGCACCCTCTGCAGACGGGTATGGGGGTCTCCAAGGGGTGCCCTTACTCCAACCCGCTGGTTCCCTGCACGCTCCCTGCCTTGTTTGCAAACCTGGCTCCCGGCTGCCCTCAAGGCTGCCAGCAGCGACCCCTGGAGAATCCCACCCCCAAAGAAAGGCTGCCCCCTCCAAGAAAAAGAGCGGAGCCAGTGAGCTGCCCTCGTGAGCAATAGGAAAGCGATGCCCACAGAGGTGCCCCTCTCTCTGGGTCCTGCCCAGAACGGCCCTCCCCTTCCAAAAGGGTAGCTGCCCCAAAGGGACCCCCAGAGCTGGTGCCTCCCCCCCACCCCTCAGCTTGCTTGCTTTGAGCCACAAGGCTCAAGGGAGGCTTCCGTGTTTGGGGACCCCCACAAGCCACCCTGATGAGGTTAAGAAAGACAAGCCAGGGGGAGCCCAGCCAGCCTTCATCTTTCCAAATGCTGACCTGGTTGGCACACCCACCTTGTCAGGTCTGCTGGCGAAGGAAGAAAAGCTGGCAGCATTCACATGGAATGAGGAGCCCTAAATCACAGTTTACAAACAACAATGACTGTTCCAGACATTAAACTAAAAACCACCACCTTGAAAGGGGTTGTCTAATCTCTGTTCAAGGGCATTCTCCAGGATGAATTGGGGGCAGTTTTCAGAGAAAAAGATCCCTGGCATTTCCCCCGCACTCCCTGGCTCGAGTAAGCGCCCCACTAGGGTCTGGGATCGTGCACGTTGTGTGGGGCAGCCCTAAGCCAAAGCCCCTCCCAGCAAGCTGGGCGTCTGCGGCCGCTCTCTCTCTGCCCAGACGGTGCCCCTGGGCAGCCCTCTTCACCAGTTCTCATTGTCTTTCCCGCAGGAGCAAAGGCCTCAATTGGTTTTGACACCAATCTCACAACAAATTTAGCACCTCATTTCCCAGCCCAATCAAATATTCCACCTTGATTATTTCAGCGCCACAAGATGGGGCTTTTCACATCCAAACGAGCGGAAAACACCTTGGCTGGACGTCAGACTCCATCAGTCTCACTTTCCAACCTCTCGGCTAAAAAAGAAGAAAAAGCGGGAGGCAGAAGCCAGCCAGGCCCATAACCAGGATGGACAAGGAGGGGGGGGAGACCCCCCTTCCTCTTTCTGGCTCTGAGTGGGAAAGATGCGCCTTGGAGGCGAGGCGGACGGAGGCAGCCTGGCTCTCGACAGGATCCCCAGGGACCCTCAGCTGCCTCCTGCCTGCCCCAGAGTCACCCAAGCTGGCATCGCCTCCAGGAAGCCCAACGATCCGGGGGAGAAAACCCTTCAGGCAATGAGCCGGTTCCCACAAGATGCAGGACAAGATTTCCCACCAGCCGCTGCCACCACCACCAACCCATGCTAGTAGAGTCACGTATGCTGTGTGAATGCAGAAGCTGGCTGGGGACTAGTCTCCCTGAATTGGTTACTGCTGCTGCTAACAGCTTCTGGATCCAAGGCTGGCAACCTGGCTGCTGCCTCTGACCAGCAGAGGCTCTCCTTGGCTTGGGGGGGGGGAGGTTGGGAGAGAAAATCCCCCACTGCGTTCACAAGCTGGCCTCCGTGGCTTCCACTCTTTGTTCCCTGGGCTCCCGAATTCTTCTTCCAGAGAGGAGGGGGGCAACCCCTCGTTCCCCCCTCTCAGGGACAGCCTCCCAGTCCCCAAGTGCAGCTGGGCCTATGTCCTCTTCCACACAACCACCAGGCCCAAGGGGTCTCCAGTGATCTGCCAGACACAGGGAGTAATTGGAAGAGACAGCTAATAAACAGGCATTCATCAAACTTCTCCAAGCCTCATCACCCCAATCAATTAAAAGAGAAGGAAGCTGCCCTCCTAAGCCCTCTGCAGAAGCAGCCCACGTACCCTCCAGGGGGAGGAGGAGAGGACGGAGTACCAGAAGGGGGAGAGCAAATTTCTGGCCCTGCTGGGTGTGCAGGAGGGAACCACAATTAGCCCAGAGAAAACATAAGGAAAATTTTCAATTAAAATCATGTCAAGAGGAGCTATAAATACAGCCTGGGTTGACACAAGGAAATTGACTCTTATTTTCCCTCCTCAAAGTTTCCTAAACATTTTCCACCTAATAAATAACATTATCATTATCAGAATTATTACGAGGATTATTAAAAAGCTCCATCCAACCTCAGGCTTCAAAAAGCAATATATGACATTCTCCCCCAAACAAATTATACTGTTTTCAGCACACAAAGACAGGAATAGAACTGTGCCGGGAGGAAAGTGGGGGGGGCAGGGAAGAGCCCCTAAAACTAATGAATAGCATTACTGCCTTACAGCAAACAGCTCCATCTTTCTGGAGAAACGCAGGGAGACAGAGGAGGGGAAAGACTGGAGATAAATGTCCAATGGGCAGCAGCTGAGCCTGGGGCTTGGCTGGGGAGCTGGGTCAAGCCACGATCAAGCCAGGACCGAGCAGCAAAGCAGCAGCTACAATGCCCCAAAGGGCCCAAGATCA